TCCTGAGTAGCTGGGATTACTGGTGCCTGCCACCACGCCCGGCTAATGTTTTTATTTTTAGTAGAGAGAGGATTTCACCATGTTGGTCAGGCTGGTCTTGAACTCCTGACCTCATGATCTTTCTGCCTCTGCCTCCCAAAGTGCTGGGACAACAGGTGTGAGCCACCGTGCCCTGCCTAGACCAGATTATTTTTTAAATTACTTCCATATATAAAATTCTATAATCCTGTGAGGAACTCAGGAAGTATTTGATTAATTATCCCATTTATTGTTCTAGAAACTTTAGTTTTTATAATCTTCCTAAATTGATCTTTGTGTTGATAAGAGAGCGTCAAGATTAAGGAGCTTATTAATTTTAAAAGACCCATGTCTATCCAGACTGGTAGGAGGCTTTGAGATACTAAATGCTAAGCTTTCAGTAGACATCTAAAATGAAACTTTTAAATCATATTCTATTCTAATATTTGATCAAGAAAAAAGTTTTAGGCAGTAAAGAAATCTGATGCAAGGGGTAGCTGAGTTTAAACCATAAAAAACCTAGTAAAGGTGAAGAAAGTTTCTCCAATTTAATTTCATTGGCATTTAAAGAGCAGCAGTGGTGCCTATCACTAGATAACATAAAAAATTGCAGGCCGGGCACATGGCTCACCTGTAATCCCAGCACTTTGGGAGGCTGAGGTGGACAGATTGTTTGAGCCCACAAATTCAAGACCAGCCTGGCCAATATGGTGAGGTCTTGTCTCTACAAAAAAATACAAATATTAGCTAGGCATAGTGGTGCACACCTGTAGTCCCATCCACTTGGGAGGCTGAGGTGAGAGGATGACCTGAGCCTAGGAGGTTGAGACTGCAGTGAGTCCTGACTGTACCACTGCATTCCAACCTGGGTGACAAAGTGGGACCCTGTCTCAAAAAGCAATTAATAAAATTTAAAAATTGCAAAGTGTAATATTGTGTTTTTTAAAAGTTAAGTATCATTTTGCTGCTTACCCTACATTAGTTTCAGGCTCTGACAATACACAATGACTGCTTTTGATCTGTTTTTGTAGTGAACAAGACCTATAATCCAAATATATTAACTAATTTCTGACTTTGTAGACATTGTTCATTATTTAGTAACTCTTACATTATGCTGTGATCTCTTGAAAGACCTTACAAATGATTATGTGGTGTCATTTTCCTGTCTCCAACAAAAAATGATTTCCTAGGGTGCTAAAGAACAGACTTAAAGGATTGACGACACAATGTAAAGGGCATAGCCAGAGGGGGTTGAAAAGATATAAACTGAACAAGTTCTTTCTTTAAGTAAATCTGTGGCAGGAACAGGTAAATTAGCAAAGCCACGGAATAGTGGTGGAGGGGTGAAATTATACGGGTATGTGCTGATCTGGGCTCTAGAAACAGAGGTCAGACAGGGCAGAGGTGAGCAATTACCTGGGAAACCGTGTGAGGGGTTGACAGACAGACAGGTTCTTCTACCTCTGTGCTGGATGTGTTCATAAATTGCTCTGTCAGGACTTGTTCTTGTTTGCTTCCTTTTATGGCTGCTGTGACCATCCTGGTTTGGAAACTTTTTTTCAGAAAATTACTACTACTAATATAAAAGACTATTATAAATACTAATAGTCTTTATAATACATAAATACAAACTGATTTTGACTTCACTGCTTCTAAGGGACATTGTCCCAAATCTTACTTCCTCAAGGAATCCAGTGTCTATATCCAAATACAGTGTATAAGTGTGTGTATTCCTTCTATTCACTGACTGTGGATCTCAATCTAAATACAATTTAACTATAAAAAGAAATACAGTGCTCTAGTTTATAAAAACATGGTTTTTAAAAATGTCCTCTGGGGTTGGGTTATTTTTGCTATAGTTCTTTGCTTTCTTGGATAGATGTTGAATCTCCCAAATTTGGTTTCTATATCAGTAAAATAAAGCCAGTTATTACTTGTCTTGTGGTATTGTAAAGATTAAAGAGCCAATGTATGCATACTGCTCAGTAAATAGGAACTATTAGTGCTACTTTCATATTTTTTATATTTATGGTGAATTCTGATGTTTTTCCATATTTAACTTTAGAAAGAAAATATTGCATCAGTTTAAATGTTTGAATTAATTCATGCTAATTCTTGGGGTGAAAATAGTTACTTAACTAGGCTCTTGTGAGATAACATAATTTTTTTTAAGTAAAAATTTACAAATGTTAATCATTGTTTAATATTACTTGCTTTTCATTTCAGGAGTGGACGCTTCTCTTGTGAGCCAGCTGGAGGGCTTACGTCTTTGACTGAACCACCCAAGGGACCTGGCTTTGGTGTACAAGCAGGCCTTTAATTTATATTGAACTGTAAATATGTCACTAAAGAAATAAAATACGAACTTCCAATCTACATAAACTTTTTTTATTATCTGTTTTTTCTGCTTTGTGTACATCCAGGTGGTAACCCTGGCAACTTGCAGCTCTAAATATTATGTCATAATGACACAGCACCATTTTAAAGTCTTCTATCTATGGCTAACTGTGAAGACATTGTTACATAATCTAGTTAATAGTTACTCTAGTGTCACCCATTTTCAACTTCTAGATCACTTTTATGAGTATCAGGTTACCGTGAAGTAAAAATTCAGTCAAATTTCAAAGTTTTGCTTTCCCATCTGTAGCTACAGCCAAGTTTTAAGTTAACATGATCTTTCTATAAACTTTGTCAGAGCTCCCTATAAACATTATTCTATTTACAACACATAGTTGTTATCGTATTTCCAACTGGTGAGACCTCCAACACACTGTAGGTTTAAGGAAGTTGGTAGTTGTCTCTAGAAGCATTACCGTTTTTAAAAAAGAAAGGTCCAAAACACTTTCGACATTATCCTTGGCTATTCTGACACTGCAAGTATACAAAAAATAATTGGGTGAAGGGATTGGAAGTATGATTACACACTCTTCAGTGGTATGGATGCTACAACTTAGAAAAAAGGATAAAACCTTTTGTCTATTAAGAAACTAGCTGTAGTACATTAGTTTTGCAAATGGGATTAGCCAGCTTTAATGCATGAATAAATTTATATATATTAATCTAATAAATGCTTGATTTCTCAAAGTCCCTTGTACTTGAGACAGATTATTCACTAGTAATATGCTTTTTATTTATTTATTTATTTTGAGACAGCCTGTCTCCAGGCTGGAGTACAGTGGTGTGATCAAGGCCCACTGCAATATTCTGGCCTCAGCCTCCTGAGTAGCTGGGAGCACAGGCAGGCACCACCACCCTGGTTAATTTTTATGTATTTTTTTTAGAGTCAGGGTCTTACTATGTTGCCCTGGCTGGTCTCAAACTCCTGGGCTCAAGTCAGCTGCCACCCTCCCAGGTTGCTGAGATTACAGGCGTGAGCGACCACGCTGGACTATAATGATTGTTTTTAAGTATATGTTTAAGAATTTTTTTTAATTGAGAGAAAGTAAACAGTAATTTTCCAAGTGGCACAAATAAGTAACAGTGAAATGTCTTCCTTCTATCCTAGAGCTCTCTTGACTGTCTCATAGGCGACTATTTTTTCTTTGTATTTTACATCATAAATAACCAAATTAAATATAACACTATTCTACCAATAGCCATAAGGGGCTCTCTTTCAAGTCTTGTTGACCCTAATGATTTTTAGGTGGGAGAAATCAGGAACCTACGAAAGGAAAAACTGATCTTCAATGCAAGTTGATACTTATATAATAATTTGACGGGTCCTGGCCGTCCTTGTCAAGTCTGAATGTCACTTCATTTGCCGTGATCACATCTGAACCCTCAGTCATCAAGACGTTTAAGGACAGTCTAACTAAACTTGTAATTGCATGTACTAAGTCATAAACGGATGCTGTAGTTTAACGGAAGAAAACGGTTTCCCGCCGAGTACGTAACACCTTGGCTGGTTAAATTGAGGCATTTACAAAACTGTTGCAGATTAACCTCTGGTAAATATAACACGCGCCCAGAAGGGAGTGAGTACACGCTGCTGCCACGCTGCGACGGTCAGTTTTCCTTAGGCACCCTTGCCAGTACCTGAGCGGCTCCCTCTCAAATCCCCAACACTACGTGTGTGAAAGTAAACCGAATTCCTCTTTACAAAGCCCACCGGAAGGCGTGCCTGGGAAGGGACGCGCACTAGATCCCGTAGTCCCGGGGCTAGAACACGCTACCAGCTTTCGGGGCGGGGCCCAGGGCTCCACCTGGCGCAGGGGTGCCGCGGGCTCTGGGCGCAGGTGCGGCTTCGGCCGGGCGCTGGGCCAGGCGGCCGCAGCAGGCTTAGCGGGGAAACTTCACCTAGTTCTCGAGCTGAAGTCGCAGCGTCGTTTTGTCTCAGTTGGATCACGCTTGTCCACCCACCCTGTGCAAAAGTAACAGGTGAATACCCTATGTGGGGTCTTCATCGCCGCCGCCATTTCCAGAAGTTTCCAGTCACAGCCACTGCCACGGTCGCCACAAATGGTACTGCAGAACCCGCTTGCCGGGCAGCGTCTGCGGCGTCTGCCCAACCTCTTCTCCCAGTCTTTGATTTCCCCCTCCTTTGTCGGAGGTGTCTGAGGAGGGGAGGCGATGACACTAACCCGGGTAGGGCGTGGAGACAAACCAGCACGTAGGGCGGAGTTCCGGCCCGCACCCCTCCGCCGCCTGCTGCTTGGTACGTCCCGCTCCCCCGCCCTGAGGCTCGCGGAGCCTCGCTGAGCAGCAGGAGGGGCGGGCGCCGGGGGGGGGCGGGGCGGTCACGCCGCCCGTCCCGTGCCCGCGGGAGTCACGTGCCCGCGGGTGTCACGTGCTCGCGCCGCAGCCAATCGTGGGCCGGCGCTGTCCTGGGAGCGAGGAGGCTGTGGTGAGAGACTGACCGAGACCGGAGATGTTTTCAAACCCAGCTCCGGCGGCGTTACAGGCGGTTGCAGCGGCGACGAAGACAACGACAGCAACGGCCACGCCGAGGCACTCGTTCCGGGGGTGAAGCCTCCTGCGCCGGCCTTGTCTCGGGTCCGTGCGGGTGAGGGGGGCGTGGCGACAGGAAAGGAGGAAGGAGGGGCGCGGTTTCGAGCCTTTCCCCGGCGCCTGGCAGGATACCCCCTCAGTTCTGCGCTGCTCCCGTTCCCCATCCCCAGAGCAAGGTAGGAGACGCGCCCTGCCCGCCCTCCCCGGCCTGGCACGCCGCCCACCCGGCCTGGCCCGAGCCGCGGTGCGCCTGACAGTGACAGGCCGTTAGTGCCCCCCGGCGCGGGTCCGCCGGGGCCCCGCCCGCCGCCGCCGCCGCCCCTCTTGGGACGTCCGGAGGGGCTGCGGCGCAGGTGGCAGTAGCCAGCTGGGCGGAGGCGCCGCGCGGGGCGGGGCGGGGGCCGGGCGGAGGGCCGTGAGCTGGCTTCGACGCGGGTGCCCCACACCGGGGCTGTTGGGGCTCGCCTGCCGCCGCCTCCTGTAACATGGCGGGGCCGGAGGAGCGTGTGCGTGTGCGTGCGAGTGTGAGTGTGCGCGGCCGAGAGGGCGCCGCTGGCGTGTCGCGGTCGGACCCGCGGGGGCGGGGGCGCGCCCGGCCCGCCGCGCGTTCTCGCCGCCAGCCGCCGAGCGTGCGCCGACGCCGGGGACTGCCACGGCCGCTCGGGCAGGGAGCGTCAGAGGCACCCAGGTCCTGGGATAGGTGGTTGAAAGCAAGACTACTGGTTTAGTAGTGTCCGGGGAAAGAGCAGCCACTCTACAGTTCTGTTTTAAATCCAGGCGTAATCTAACCTTGCCGCATCAGGCAAGCAGTTTCCTTCATTGTTTTTCAAGTGTCCACTTGTGATGCTTCAAGACCCGTGGAGGACGTCAGGTTCTTAGATCTCGTTTTGAGGAGTGATGTGTGGAATGACGCATCCTTACAGATAGCAAAGCGTTGAATAAACGATTGTACAAAGAGGCATCCGAAGCTTAGCTGACAGCTGTTTCAGTAATAACAGTAAGACACTGTGTAACGTAGGAAGTTACTGTTGCACTCGTTGAAACCTTAGGAAACGTTTAAAGCAGTGTAGTTACCGGGATTGTAATTTCCGCTGGACACCAGTGGCTAAACTGCGAACTAAGGTGAAGTTTGTTGGAGATCCCAGTGATGTGTATGTAATGTTTGGAATCGTCTGTAATTCTAAAGTTGAAATGAGCCTTCATCTTCAGTCATGTATTTCATTTTCGTTTATGAAATTGGAAGGCTAACTAGTGAAATAGTTGTTTTAACATAACTTAACTGTTTATTAAAAGCATATGCTTGGCCAGGCGCGGTGGCTCATGCCTGTAATCCCAGCACTTTGGGAGGCCGAGGTGGGTGGATAACCTGAGGTCAGGAGTTAGAGACCAGTCTAACATAATGAAACCCCATCTCTACTAAAAATACAAAAAAGCCAGGCGTGGTGGCACATGTCTGTAATCCCAGCTACTTGGGAGGCTGAGGCAGTAGAATCGCTTGAACCCGGGCGGCGGTCTGGCCTGGGCAACAAGAGCTCCGTCTCAAACAAACAAACAAACAAAAACATATGCTCAAGTAGGCCGTTAAAAATCTTGGGCACATCTGAGTTTATTCAGTCGTTACACAAAGCCTTTCCTGGAGATTAGCTCAGAACTGGCAGAACATATGCTCTGTTGGTGCCAAGTGGCTTAAAAGCAAAATGAGATAGTGTCCACTGTGTAAGATGAAGTCGTTATATTAACCAATCTTGTTGAGGAAAATCTTTAATTTGGGTTAAAAGCAAAAACATTTAAAGATTTGAAATGTTCTCCCGGGAGATTATAGACAAGGGGAGGAAGGTTTTACTACTTAAGGATCTTTTATATTTGATACAGGCACTGAAATAATTTCTGAAGTTCTACAGGCATCTTGACTAAGGTCAAGCTTAGCTCAAGTTATGCGTTTTCTTTTAGAGATAGATGAGATGTTAAAATGGAAGGAAAATGAGTGTTAACTTTACTTATGTAGGATACTTTTAATGTTCTTAATGTCTTATAGTTTTCATAGTAGTTGTTAAAAATTCGTTATTGGAATAGCTTTATGAACTATGGAGAACTGGGAAAGTGGAACTCTCTGGGTGTGTATTCCATGAAGAATATTTGAGGAGGAGTAAAGAGAACAAAAATACTCAGAGGAGGAAAGAATTTAGCTGAAAATACATTGTGCAGACTCATACTGGTTAATACCCAAGGGGGAAAAAAGCTTGATTTTTATTTGCGGATTAGTGTCCAGCCAGTAGGATGAATTTAAAAGGAAGATTTTTTTTATCATTTCAATATTACTTTTTCCCGGTAGAAGTTGGAAAACGTTGCTGATATTCTTTTGAAGTAGATTGGAGAAATAGTAGGATATTTGAACAACACTTTATTGGAGAAGAGATATTTATTCTTAAGAAAACATTGAGTGATTGTAAACATGTTTGATTTCTTGCTATTAGCTGACACGTAAGCTTTTCTTTAAATACATTTTATGTTTTAAGAGCGTTATTTTAGTCCAAAAAGAGGATGAATAGTGGCGTTAGTCATTTCCATCATAGTTAATAAGAAGTTTTACTGCTCCCTGTGTATAGACTTAATCATATTAAAGTAACATGTCAGATGGGCATGAAGAATTGTCTAGTAATTGCAGTAGGTTGCCTAAGAGCTATTGACACTGCTTTCTGACTTGGAATTTGTTGCTAACAATACGTATTTCTAAAATGCATGTGCCTTGTAAAGGGTACAGTGTTGAGATTTATCCTTGGGACTGGAAGGGAGCTCTGAGTTTCTTACTCATTTCCTTTATTTTACAGATGAGAAAATAAAGGCCTGCTAAGATGAAAAGACTTAAAGCTAGTCTGCAGCTAGTTAAAAACAGTCTGTGGTTTGGCCGAGAGGTTTCTTTCGTGAAGATGCTAATTTGCCTCTTTTTTTAGAAGAAGCCTTATGGAGTTGTGGAAATAATATTGAAATATAAGTGAGAAGGCCTGGGTTCAAATTCTTGATTTATCACTTCCTAACAGTGGGTTTTGATGTATCACATTAACTTTAAGAACCTGCCTTCTGTCAGCTGCAACTTAAAAGGAAAACCAAAAAGAAAAAAAAGAACCCGGCCTTCTTAACCTGCAAAAGTAATTTTCCTGCATAATTTAGTGGTGATGTGTGGAACATTTAAATGAGAATACTTTAGGAAGCACGTTATATACTTGTAAACTTCTATACACTGTGGTATGTTGTTTTTAAAGAAAATACAATTCTTGAAGTGTAACAAGGTGTTTAGATCACTGGGTTTTTGCGTAGCCCTAGCTTTATTGTTTTCATCTTTTGCTGTTTTACAGATTATAACTCCTGTAGATACATTTTCTGATCTCCACGTTGTTCTAACTGTAGTTAAGCCGCTTATGAACATTTTAAATATTGGAGTTGTCAGTCTGACTTTCCCTGGAGGATATGAAGTTTCTTTATCTTTGAAAATACTTTCATATATATTCATGCATTCATAATCTGTTTCTGTAACAGACAGTGGCTTTTTAAAAGTAATAGTGAAAGTAATCTTAGTAGCAATGTTCATTTGTCTCTTGCTAGTTTCCAGATATGCAAAAGCAGGAGATAATTTCCTTTAAAAACTCCACTTTGGTAGTGCATGTTAAGGTCATCTGGTATATCTAAAATATTTAGAAATGTTAAAACAGTTTTTGTTTGCTTTTGCTGTTAAGTTTGAAAACCTTTTAGTGCTTTAAATTGATAATCCTGGAAACCAGCATCAATACTGTGTTACATAGATTATCAGAGTTTTTATAGTCTTAAAAATAAAGGTACTAATAATCATAGATAATATTTCCTGAACACTTAGAATATGCAAGTCTCTGTGTTTTAAGTGAAACATTTCGGGTAATTTTCATAATAACCTTGTAAAAACAGAGAGGAAACTGAGGCTATGAACAATTATGTGATGTGTAAAGATTACACACTAAATAACAGATTTCATTGCCCTATTTCTTAACCATTTCTCTGCAGTCCCTCTAAGAATGTTTAGTTGGTTTTTGAAGAGTTTTAAGGCAGTGTTTCTTAAATTTCAGATTTCATCAAAACTGTTTGGGGGCCAGCTATTTTACCTTATTTGGGGTGGTCAAAAAAGAAAAGAAGTTCCTTATGGGAATCATAGAACATAGACCAGTAAGCCCTTTTATGAGATGCTGATATACTTGTTGCTGTGGTGGCAGTGGTATTTTCATGTTAGTTCTGTCAGAGCACATTATTCTTACCAGCTACAAAAAGGTCTATAGTTGTTCGTATAATATGAGACTATCCTAACAGATTCCACCTTGCTGTTCATATCATTCTTCTGAAGAGATGTACTTTTATCACAGTGACTGAAGAAAAAAGATAATGAAACTCATTTAGGACTTTCATAAGAGAATAGATCCTGCAATAGAAAATTTGCTGAGTTTGTCCAGGTTTAGAAAATAGTATCCAAGACCTGGTTTTCTGATTAGTGTGAGCCTCCAAAATTCTAAGAAACTTAAATTCAAACATAAGTCCTTAGAAAATTAAGTTTTAACATGGAGATGCTTGCGACTTAAAGGAGATAGATTATGAAGCCACAAGTTACAGGGTAGAAGTCATTTCATTTTCTTTGGCTTTAAAAAAATTACAAAAATTATAAAAATTGTGTCATCTTTGGTCAGTTCCTTAATATCTGTTTATTGGGGGCTAAAATTCTTTCAACATACATAATAGTTCACCTTTCTAGTTATCAGTGTGTATTCAGGCCATAACTGGGAAACATAATACAAATGTTAGCAATAAGTACATTTTGATTTCTGTTAACTATCTTATTTTGACAATAGAAGATTAATAGTCTCTAATAATATGCATAAAGAGATTGGCAAATTGTCACCCTTTTAAAATAAATAATGGGTTTTTTTCTTTGTTTTTGTTTTGTTTTGTCTTAGAGCTAAGATCTTGCTATGTTGCTCAGACTGGTCTCAGTCTTTAACTCCTGACCTCAGCCCTTCTGTTTCAGCTTCCATAGTAGCTGGGATTACGGGTCTTAGCCACCTTGCCTGGCTATATATTCTCTTCTTGTAACGATAGCAAAGAGTATAGTAGAGCTCTATAGCTTCTCAGATTTCAGATTGTTCCTCTGACAGAGGAATTTTGTCAGCATTCTGACTTCTAATTAAGAACAAAAACCATGTGTTTCTCTTTCTTCTACTTAGGAATAACTATATTGACTCAAGATAAAGGAACAATAGTACCTTAAAAATTACAGTGCTTTGTAATTCAAACAGTACTTTTTACATCCGATTCTCTTTTGAATCTTACAGCTCAATGAGGCTAAAACAAGGATTCTCAGCTAATCTGATGATACTGAGCCGTGGATTGAATTCAGGTTAAAATTATCTGGAGTTATGTTAGAGTTCTTTGAAATTGACTCATGAAAGAGAAACATTAGCAAACAAAGGAAGAGAAAGGAGAGACATGCACTTTTATTTTTCTCCCACCAAATTCATGTTGTACAGAACTTTCTACTCTGTTTACCTCTTCTGAAACAGAAGTCCTTATACAGCTTTAATCATTAGTAGGAATGGGCCAGGCCCAGTGGCTCACACCTGTAATCTCAGCTCTTTGGGAGGCTGCGGCTGGCAGATCACTTGAGGTCAAGAGTTTGAGACCAGCCTGACTAATGTGAGGAAACCCCACCTCTACTAAATAATACAAAAAATTAGCTGGGTGTGGTGGCACATGCCTGTAATTCCAGCTACTCAGGAGGCTGAGGCAGGAGTATTGCTTGAACCCAGGAGGCGAAGGTTGCGAGCCACTGCACTCCAGCCTGGGAGACAGAGTGATACTGTCTCAAAACAAACCTAAATAAATAAAAATTAGTGGTAGTGGTTAATTATGATAGAGACAATCAGATAAGAAAAAATTTCAGCAGGGCCTGATGGGTCATGCCTGTAATCCCAGCACTTTGGGAGGCTGAGGCTGGTGAATCACCTGAGGTCAGGAGTTCAAGACCAGCCTGGCCAAGATGGTGAAACCCCATCTTTACTAAAAATACAAAAATTAGCCAGGCATGGTGACGGGCACCTGTAATCCCAGCTACTCTTGGGATGCTGAGGCAAAGAATTGCTTGAACCCAGGAGATGGAGGTTGCAGTGAGCCGAGATTGTGCCACCGCACTCCAGCCTGGGCAACAGAGAGAGACTCCATCTCAAAAAAAAAAGAAAAAGAAAATTCCATAACAAAACCTACCATAATTTGCACAAGAATATTGTAACTAGGAATAGAGCCTTGGCTTGCATTCCAGTGTTCCATGTTAGTCTTGGAACCTCTGAGTTAAAATAAATCCTTTCGACCAGAGTTTCTCACTACCAGGAAGTTACTTGGTGATCAAGAAAAAGAACTTCTGTTGAGCTTCTGTATACTAGGTACTATTAGATACTTTCATATATGTTATATGTGAGTGCAGATATCTTAAATAGTTAAGAAAACACTTCAAAAAACTGTCACTGGAATACCTCTAACTCAATCTTTTTTATTGCAGAACTGAGTTGAAATTTATGTTACATAACTGTAAATCTGTTACTTTGAGAAATTTTTTCTTAAGATCAGTCCAGTTCACTAATATATTTATAGTTGAGGTGATCATCCGGTAGTGGTTATTCAGCCTTCAGAAATTATGCTTACCTTCCAAGATTTGTGGAAACCTTTCAAGAGTGAAGAGGATTATCTTTTTTTTTTTTTTTTTTTTTTTGTTTTGAGACAGAGTCTCACACTGTTACCCGGACTGGAGTGCAGTGACATAATCTCGGCTCACTGCAACCTCTGCCTCCTGGGTTCAAATGATTCTCCTGCCTCAGCCTCCTGAGTAGCTGGGATTACAGGCACCTGCTACCACATCTGGCTAATTTTTTGTATTTTTAGTATAGGTGGGGATTCACTGTGTTGACCAGGCTGACCTTGAACTCCTGACCTTGTGATTTGCCCACCTCATCCTCCAAAGCTCTGGGATTACAGGCGTGAGCCACTGTACCCAACTGAGCATTCTCTTTAAGCTACCGTTGAGTATGGCCAAACGACAACAACCAAAAATACTCTGTTTACCGTGTTTCTGTTTGTCCTCATCTTATTGAAAGTAAGCAAGAATGGTTGACAGCAAATTGGCTTACTCATTCTTCCCTTTACTTTATTCATTTTCTGCTTTTGAGGCTCCTCCTCTTCCTTCAGGCACTAGCACTCTTTCTCTGAAAACCCCAGTCAAAATTAATCTGTACTTACATAGATACTTATGTACCTATATTTGTGTTATTAAACTTAAAAATTATATTACCACTTTCATTTTACATTAGCTAATGCATAAGGAAATAGTAATTTGCGTTTTCTCTACTGTGACTTGACACATATATTCTTTGGCCATTTTTCTCTCTTTTTTCTTACTCAAAATTTCTAGGAGTAGCAATCCATAATTTACACAAATAATATTTTAACATTTTTGTTAGGGTTTTACAGCATGCAATTATTGTCTGCTGTTATTTAAAAACTAATAAAAAGGTCGTTAATTCTCCAACCTCCTTATGCATAATCTTTATATATTAGTGATTTTTACTCTTCTGTATATTACAAATATAGCACCATTGGCCCTTCACAAACCCCAGAAGAAATTGGCTGTCTCCAAAGTACTACTGCCTTTTTGGGGTGATTACTTTTTATGTTCTTCTATTATTCCATTCACACTCCTACTCTAAGAATTTCTCCTGCCTGTAGCTTTTGTAAACTCAGATGTTAGGGTGGGAGTAGCAGCAAACAGAGTCTTTTGGCCATGGGGAAACATGTAGTCTCACACTTGAGTCATATTCATTATGAAGTGCTAATACTGGTAGAGGTATAATTACAAATACTCTATAGTTGATCATAGGTTCTCCATATGAGGGTTATCTGATTCCTATTTTGCAGCTCTAAAGTTCAAGTTAAATCATTTAAAGTTACACCCGTCTAGTAAGTGATGGTGACTGTATTGCTTCCTTTCAAAACTGTACCTTCAAAGATGACATTAAAAGAAAAGATGAAATGATAAATTTAGAAACTTTGGGGGGAAAATATGTAATTTGTATTATGATTATGGATTTTTACAAAGAGTAAAAAGTAAAAAATCTTGAAGTATTCAGTCTGAAAATGGGTTCTTGAATTTGAAAGTGTTTGGAATTTTTCTTCTTTTATTTCTGAATTTTCCAGTTTTACCACAATGAGTAAGTATCGTAGATAGAATGAAGTTTTTGTTAATTTTATTTTTAAATATGGGTTCTTGCTCTGTTGCCCATGCTGGAGTGCAGTGGTGCCTTCATAGCTCACTACAGCCTCAAACTCCAGGGCTCAAGAATTCTGTCCCAGTCTCTCATGTAGCTGGGATTAAAGGTATATGTCACCATGCCAGGTTCTGGATTTAGTGAAGTTTTAAACACCTACATAGTTGACAATTTTTAAAAGAATGTCTCTAGGTACAACACTTACCTTTAGCATTGTTGAGGCAGGCATTAGGGAAGATGACAAGTGAAGGCAGTATTATTTTTATGGAGATGGAGTCTCACTATATTGGCCAGGCTACTTTCAAACTCCTGGCCTCAAGCAATCCTCTCACTAAAAAGACATTATCTGGGCCGGGCGCGGTGGCTCACGCCTCTAATCCCAGCACTTTGGGAGGCCGAGGCGGGTGGATCACGAGGTCAAGAGATCGAGACCATACTGGTCAGCATGGTGAAACCCCGTCTCTACTAAAAATACAAAAACTTAGCTGGGCACTGTGGCGCGTGCCTGTAATCCCAGCTACTCAGGAGGCTGAGGCAGGAGAATTGCCTGAACCCAGGAGGCGGAGGTTGCGGTGAGCCGAGATCACGCCATTGCACTCCAGCCTGGGTAAACAAGAGCGAAACTCCGTCTAAAAAAAAAAAAAAAAAAAAAAAAAAAAAGACATTATCTGTGTCTTTTTAAGATTTCACATTCAGGGAACAAAATACAGACATATCACATAGGAGGATAGTAGTATTCCTTAATCATCCAAATTGCTTTCTAGTTGATGTGGAAAGGAACATGGTAAGCCCTATAAAGACATGAATCATTCTGTCTTATTCTCTATTCTCTCACAGTGTAAATGGTTAGCATATATTTATTGAGTGAATAAGAATCACCTCAGTGCCAGTATCAAGAGGATGGTCTGACTGGCGTAGAGGATGAACCGGGACTAAAAGAGAAAAGATGGGTAGCAGTTGAGAACAGCCACAATTACGAGAATGAGGGGCTTAATATAAATAAATTTCCAAGATGGGAAATGATGTAATACACATTTTCTTAGAGAGTAATTCTAGAAGTTGTATAGTCTTTAAATAGGAGATAACTATTTAGAAAGGTTTTTAAGGTTTTAGGACCCAGTTGTAAGCACATATCTGAAGAAGGCATTCTATGTTTATGGGCCACTTAAAATCTAGCAAGAAGAAATAATTACCTAAAACCAAAAAGAATAATTAGGAAGAGGTTCTGTCTATATTTTGAAGTCTTATTATAGATTTTTGGGGGATATGAGTTCAGGGAAAGGGGCCTGTGTGTTTTAGGCACTGAAATAGGTCTCTTCAAAAAGGCTGAGAATCACTGACTTGGAAATGTAGGTTCAGTTTTTGCTGTAGAACGCTTAGATTCTTAAAGAGTCCTTAATTTCTTTTTTAGGTGTTATTTTTTTATAGTATAATTCCTTTAGTAAAGATGCTTAACATTTGTACCATCAGTGACATTTGCCTTTTTTTTCCCCCCGATTCAAAAACATTTGTGTGGTTATATGTCAGAAAGTGTTCTGTTATAAAAATAAAACCAAGCCTGGCACAGTGGCACATGCCTATAATCCCAGCTACTCCAGGAGGTTGAGATGGGAGGAACATGAGTCTGAGCCCAGCCTGGGAAAAAATAGTGAGACTCCATCTACAAAAAAAGTAGTTTTGGCTGGGCACAGTGGCACACACCTGTAATCCAATCACTGTGGGAGGCAGAGGTGAGAGGATTGCTTGAGGCCAGGAGTTTGAAAGTAGCCTGGCCAACATAGTGAGACTCCATCTCCATAAAAATAAAAATGTAAAAGCCTACCAAATACATGCTTATTCTTTTGGATTGATGTTGGAGTTTTCATGTCACTTTCTACAGCTATTAGAATACAGTGAAATTACTCCGTTCTGGCTCTTCTCATCAGCATTCTTCTAAATGGTTTTGGTCAGAAGAGCTACCAGTGGTATATAATACTACATAAACCAGTTAAAAGTGTGTTTTTCTTTGAATGCCCTGGAATATGCAATTGTTCTGAAATCTAGTATATATTATAGGAGGTAGCTTTATGTTGGAGAGTAAGCAGGATAAAGAAAAAGGTAGCAGATCAAGACTAAAATGCCCAAACAATTGAGTCCTGGTATAAAGTCATGGAAGTGACAGTTTTAATCTGTAATTAAAGCAGTGTTATCACCCAACATGTTGTTGGGTCAGGGTGAAAATGATGTTGTATGTAAGTTAGAAATACTTTATTATTTGTATTGCTGTCTTGTACTGATTTCAACTCCCCATAACTGCATCAAGAATTGGGGTATAGTTTTTAGGATCTCAGGCTTATATTGCAGAAGCAGTGTAGCATAAACTATTCTGGTTTCTTAATGACTTGTCCCAATATCATTTATCTAACATACCACTATTAAAACGATATCTATAAGTAATTAAAAGGCCTTTCATTTAAGGCTAAAATGTGTGTCTATCATTTTTAGAGAAAGCAGTAAAAGTGAGATAGGGCACTTTTGGGGATTAAGCTGTGAGTAATACTTAGAATAGTACCAGCCTTATTTATAATTGTTATGATATGTCGTGACGATTGACTGCAATAGCTATACTTTGGAGGGGGCCGCAGAGGGGGCAAAAAATAAAATATAAAAAAATTATTTAGAATATTTTAGGTAATTTAACAGGTACAAAAAAATAGCCTGATGAACTTTCCCTTTTCTCTGGACCTATTTAAATCCTTTTATTTCTAAATGGTTCATCTCAAATGTGACCTATTCAATGAAGCCTGACCTCTTCCATCTTAACTCTGTTGCACATTGTATATAGCAGTGTGAGCAGTGTGACTAGAGGAGTTGAAAATAAGATTTCTGCATGAGGTAGAAATGTACCTAGAAATCTAGTGAAAGCCAGACATCCACACTTCACTCTATGCAGAACAAAACAGATAAAGTAGATTTGAGAGGAACCAAACAAAATATCATTTTAGGAAGATTAGTCTGGTTGGTAGCAGCTGTGTGGAGCAATAGGTCTAAAAGGAAGTAGTGAATTGCCAACTCATTTTGATTGACTCCCCCCGCCCCTTCCCCCGTAGTTACTTTGTGAAATTTTACTTTGCCTTCAAACAGTTCATCATTTTGCTAGAAGAGAAATTAGATGGCAGAATTTTAAATTATGGGTGTTTCTAGTTTTAAGGATTTTAGAATTGTTTTAGAACCTGTAGGCTTTTTCTCTGTTGACAGTGAAGTGAATACAGTGGCTATTAGATTTCCACTTTTCAGCATTCATAGTATTTTCTGCTCCCAGTGCCAGAAAAGCAAGTAAAGCAGCCTAACCATTTTCTCTTGAGCTGTTGCAGCCCTCTACTGGTTTATGGAAGTTGCAACAATTTAGAACCTGTTAGGGCCAAAAGATCAGACAACTCAGTAACTCATTTAAAAAATCTCAGACCCGGCCGGGCGCTGTGGCTCAAGCCTGTAATCCCAGCACTTTGGGAGGCCGAGGCAGGTGGATCATGAGGTCAAGACATCGAGATTATCCTGATCAACATGGTGAAACCCCGTCTCTACTCAAAATACAAAAAATTAGCTGGGCACGGTGGCGTGTGCCTGTAATCCCAGCTACTGAGGAGGCTGAGGCAGGAGAATTGCCTGAACCCAGGAGGCGGAGGTTGCGGTGAGCCGAGATCGCGCCATTGCACTCCAGCCTGGGTAACAAGAGTGAAACTCTGTCTCAAAAATAAAAAATAAAAAAAATCTCAGACCCTTAGAAGTCATCTATGCCAACCCTCTCAACTGAAGATGAATACTTTATATACCTTCCATAACAATTCTGGAGGCGGGGGAGGTATATAAATACACACACACACACATTTGTATGTATATGTATAATTGTAAATATAACTGCCCATATTTATTTACAAACTCTAAATGTATTGTTAGAATGTGATCCTTTATAATCAGGTGTTTTACATTGTCATAAAACATCTCTTTAATGTCTTTTATAAATATTATCTAATGAAGTAATGAGAATTTTTTAAAGATTTGAGATATTTATTACTATTAGAAGATAAATACAACAGATAAATGCTAATTGCTTATTTAAATTATTTGCAAAGCAATTTTACTTCTTATTTATTGCTGGAGCCAGAATGTTAGGTTTCATTCTAGCCTTCTTGTTGTTTACTCTTCCACCACCACCCCTGTGCCCCTCTCGTTGCCACCAGCCACAATCTAGTCATTATGCTTTAAGTGGTCTCCTTGTGTCTTCGCAAATTCCTCTTAAGTCCATGTTTCAGAGTTTCACCAAGGGCAGCTTTCTGAACACACTGCTGGAATTATGTCACTACTTTTTTAGAAAACTTAAAATTTTGTTACCACAGAGAACAGACTACCAATGACAAGGGACTTCATGATGAGATCCCTTCCTACTTTCTTCAGCCTCATTTTCTATCCTACTCTGCTTCAGTTTTTTGCCAATCCGTCATTGTGGTCTGCTTTTGTGTGTGGCCATGTGTGCACCCCTGTGCATATGTTTATATCTACCTGCCTCAGAATCATCCTCAAAACTTATTTTAATGTTTCCTCTTCTTGAAATTCCCTACCCCTACCTCTGTACAAATGCACCCAGGTTGGGTGCTTGCTTACATTTATTATTCTGCATGATAATTACATTGTCTTTTTCCTGTTAAAGACTGTCAGTTCCCTTCAGGCTAGGATTGTGTTATGTTCATCTTTGTTCCATTATGTGACATATAGGTGACATTACTAAATGTTAAGTGATAGAATAATTGCATGAGCAAACTGGGATATAGCTAAAGGAAATACCCACAGTTAAATAAGTTAACATCACAGACTTAATTTACTTTTGTTGAAGTTTTAAGGATAATTTATTAAGACTAGTGCTTATTGAACATACTTTTCTTAATGTCTACATTAAGGAAAGTGATGGTTGGGGGAGATAAAGAATGGTAGTTTAGAATTGGAATGGACATCATTTTAAAATGAGGAAACTGAAAGCCACAGAGTTTACTAGAAATTTCAAGTTACAACTAGAACCCATCTTCTTTTTCACTTTACTGATTTTCTTCTAATATATTTTGCCTAGATTTGGCTAGGATTAGTAGATATTGGTTGTTAATATTTCAGGCAATTGGACTATCTGAATGGAACTCTTTCCTGTAGGTTTACCTTTGTGGAATTTTGAAAGTAATAATACACATATAGCTAAAGCAAATTGACTATTTGTAATTTTTTTTTTTCATAGGCAGGGTCTCACTCTGTCTCCCAGGCTGAAGTATAAAGGTGCTGTCTGAGCCCACTGCTACTTCTGCTTCCTGGGTTCAAGCAATTCTCCTGCTTCAGCCTCCGGAGTATCTGGGACTACAGGCATGCACCGCCACGCCCAGCTAATTTTTGTATTTTTGGTAGAGACAGGGTTTCACCATATGTTGGCCAGGCTGATCTCAAACTCCTGACCTCAGGTGATCCACCCTACTCGGCCTCCCAAAGTGCTGGAATTTCAGGTGTGAACCACTGAGCCTGGCCTGTAATGTATTTATTTTGCATAGTCTTCTGAATTCTCTCTCATGCTCAGATTCCTGAAAGGTGTAACATTTAGCAGCACCAACCAAAAGAAACCTCTGTTTACTGGATTGAGTTTATGTCCTAAATCTTTTGCTTCTTTCCCTATTCTGGTAGGGAATAAATGTAAAACATGTAGATACCTTTTATCTCTTTTCCTCTACCGCTATCTGAAACACTGTGATACCTGCTGTCTCATGTATTATTTCCTCTTGAGTTCTAACCAGAGCGCTGTAGGTCTCCAGAGCAAACCAAGTAGAAATGGACCTATGTTATTATTTTCAAAAAATTTTTGTTTGCTGATAAAAGCAATACATGTCCATTCTAAAGTTAAAACTTTAGAGAACTCTATAAAATAGACCATAAAAATGCCTCAAGAACTTTTAAGAACATTGTTTTAAGGACATCGTTGGACAGGTTATTGTAAAAGATTGTAGATGCCTGTCCTTTTATTCTTCATCTTTTGCATGTTGTTGGTTAAATTTCGTGATTTAAAAAAAAAATGATGCTAATTTCTTGATCTGGAATGCAACCATTAGATTCTTGTGGAAAAATGTTATGGAGTAACTGCCAGAAAACATTGTGGTGAAAATCAACCGTTTCTTACTGTAGGAAAATATGATAAAGAGAGCATGTTCCCTTTTTAAAGACTAAATTCTCACTTGAATGGCTTAAATAATTAAGGCAGGGAGGGAAGTCCAATTAATATCTCAGAAGCATGACTATTTATTTTGAGACTTTTTTCAATTTTTTTTCAAAACCAGTTTTAAAATGTGAAGGAATTAAGCTGCTTGTTTGGTTTAAGTAGGAATTACTTAGTGTTTATGTCTAATAGTTTATTCTTTGCATGTGAGGAAAACAGCAGTAAGTAGATCTAATAATTTAAGGTATTTTTGCATTCATAGAGAAATATTAGAATTTGGAGTGAAATTATTCTAAACCTCTTATTCAGGAATCAGAATTTTGGAAGGAGAGGATCTTAAACCTCATCTAATCTAATTTTATTTTCAAGAATAGGAAACAGAAATATTGAGAACTGATGAAGGTCAACCAAAAAGTCTTTGATCTCACAATAGAATCTTGGACCTCAAGCTCCCAGATCAAACTACATAAAAAGTGATGGTCACTTTCCTAACTGAACAACCCTTAAGGACCATTGAAAGTTGTTACTGTGATTTGGTCCTTTACTAGTTGTATTTTTTCTCAAATCAATTTTGAAGAAAGCATTTTTTGCCCTGAAAGCAGCGTGGAAGCGGGAGCTGAAATAAAGTTAGGAATTAGTTTCCATACTCAAGAGTTCTCGCTTTACTTTCTTTAGGTAGAATACAAAGTGGGTGGTAAGTTTGCATATTTTATATGCACCAGGGTCTATGGTAAGATAGAATTTCAATTACTTCTCATAGCCTTTTTATTGAACTTTATCATTTTGTTGTATAGATGATGAAATTAAGTGATTTAGGCCAGGTGCAGTGGTTCATGCCTATCATCGCAGCACTTTTGAGAGGCCAAATAAGAGGATTGCTTGAGGCCAGGAGTTTGTGGCTAGCCTGGGCAACAAAGCAAGACCCTGTCTCAATATTTAAAAAAACAAAAAGAAAAAAAATCAGTAATTTGTACTTTGCTCTCAGTTGTATTTAACCTAAAGTACATGTTTTAGGGACTTCTGGACAAAAGGGTAGACTGTAGATACCCCCTTCTTTTTCAAATATATGAAAATGCTAAGTAAAAATAAAACACTTAAAGAAAAGGGAATCTGCAGGTGCCTGAAAAGAAAAAACACAGTCATAACAGAGAACAGAAGTTGAAGCTCTGTCCTACAGGGAAAATGAAAAGATACCTTTAGTGTGTGAGCTTTAATGTACTTGTGGAATCCATAGGCCCAGGAATGGCAGGAAACCGAGACTGGGCTCCTTGAGTAAAAGCCCAGACCAGGAGGACTCTCAAATATTCATAAATAGGGCCTTAAAAACAAAAAGTCATCTACCAGCCTGGGTTTATATTTCCAGGTATATCTTCTTCCTGTCTTTTTATTTTCACCGTTTTTGGTCTTCTTTTGTGGTCTATTTTTCTTTTAAGTATATTGTTAGATTCTCTTTATCTACTCTTACAGACTCTTGATTAGTGAGGTTCATTTATTGTAGTAACACATATATTGGAAATTATTTACATTCTGTTTACCACACTTAAATTTTTTTTCTGCCTTCCGTCACATAGATTGAATGTTTGTTTTCAAAGGCATCCATTTGATTTATTGAGACCTTATGTTTCTATTCATTTTCTACATCTTTCTTTTTAAGTGTACATCATGTTGTTTTATTATTATTTGCTTTTCATGTAGAACTCAGCAGTTTACATCCAAATCTAGCCAGAGCCCTTCACTGCCATGATAGCTGGGGTTTCACCAGTCTGTCTACTGTGATGATCTGTAGACTTCTGGTTGTATTTCCCTATTTATTTTCAGTATACTTCTACAGCTTTTTAATTTTAATGTATATTTTCCCTCTAAACCAGATAAGTTATTTCAGTGCTTTCTCACTTTCCTGTGGGCTTCTTCCCTCTCCTCAACCCTTACCCTATCCCAGGGGCCATTTTGATAGAGGTATTCTTTTATACATTTGTCCTGACTCTTTTTGTATGAAATAGACTTAGTAGATTATAAACTCACTCTTACTCCCATATATTACATAATGTCCTCATATATTTCTTTTCAAAAATTTTTTTTTGTAAAGACAGGGGTCTCACTATGTTCCCCGGGCTGGTCTCCAACTCCTGACAAGCAGTCCTCCTACTTCAGCCTTCCAAAGTGTTGGAATTACAGGTGTGATCCACTGTGCCCAACCCATAGATTTATTTATATTATTTGGGTACCTACTCAAAAGCAGATTTTATTTAAACAGTGTATCTATATGTAAACCTTCTAAAGCCTTTTTATAACTGAAAATGTTTTTAGTTAACCTTCACGTATAGCTGATAGCTTACTATCACCAATAACTTAGTTTTAGTAATGATTTTGGTTTGAAATACTTACCTTTAACATTTTAAGAATATTATTACATTGTTTTCTTATCTCTGATGTTACTTTGGGGAAGTTCTGATGTCAATTTGATTTCTTTGCCACTCCAGAACATTTTGAAATATTTTGTGTTTTTCAGTTTTATTATTATGCGTCTGAGTATAGTTCATTTTCCTGTTTGGCGCTTGGATTCATGTTTACTCACTCATTTACCAAATATTTGATTTGTTAGGAGCCTGCTGTGTAACCCAGGATGTATTTCAGATACTTTAATCTGAGTTCTTTAACTTTGTCTCATTTGGAGGAAATTATTGGTTATTGTTTCAAAAATTTTTTTTCTCCATTTTCTCCCAGGATGTATTCCAGACACTTTAATCTGAGTTCTTTCACCTTTTCTCATTTGGGGGAAATTATTGGTTGTTGTTTCAATTTTTTTTTTTCTCCATTTTCTTCTCTATGGGAATTCTGTTATATGGATTTTTGTCACTTCTAACTTCTCTGTGTCTCTTAACTTTCCATCTTTCCTGATGTCTTCTGGGACTGTCCTCTCTACTTGATCTTGTAGTTCACTAATTCATTCTTTGGCTTATCTATTACGTACCTAATCTGAAGAGTTCTTTATTTCAACCCATGTATGTTCATACTCTGTATTGGTTCTTTTTTGTGACTACTTAGTTCTGCATGTTATCAATCTTCTAGCTCTAAGGATTTTAAATGTTTCAAAAAAACTTCATATGTCTTTTCCATTAATTCTGCTTTGTATATATAGTTTAGTTTGAATGGGAAAACAAAAAAACATTTAAACAAGGCAGTGAGATAATTTGATTTTCAGTTTTAAAAGATTACTCTGTGTCTGGGCACAGTGATTCACGCCCATAATCCCCCAGCACTTGGGGAGGCTGAGGTGGGAGGACGACTTGAGCACAGGAATTTAAGACCAGTCTGGGCAACATGGCAAAACAGTGTGTCTACAAAAAAATGCAAAAATTAGCTGGATGTGGTGACATGTGCCTGTAGTCTCAGCTACTTGGGAGGCTCAAGTGGGAGGATCAATCACTTGAGGTCGAGACTGCAGTGAGCCATGATTGTGCCACTGCACTCCAGTCTGGGCTACAGAATGAGACCCTGTCTCAATAAGTGATTGAATGATTACTCCAAGTCATATGCCTGTACTCCCAGCTGCTTGGTTGACTGAGGTGGGTGGATCGCTTGAGCCCAGGAGCTTGAGGGAGCCTGGGCAACATAGTGTAACTAGTCTCTTAAAAAAAAAAAAAAAAAAAAAGAAAAGAAAAGAAAAAAACCACTCTGGCTGCTGCCTGTAGAATGGGGTGTATATAAGGTGTGGAGGCAGTGGCAAGAACGTAAGCAGGGAGATCATTTGGAAAGTGTTTGCAGTAGTCTATTCAAGAGATGATGGTGGCTTGGATTAGGATGAATAGGATGGTAGCAAGTGAGATGGGAAGACATGAATTTAATTTGTGGTATATTTTAGAGATGGCATCAGCATTTCTGAATTTCTGGCATAAGTGGTGGATGGATGTTGGTGACATTTATTGGAGTAGAGAAGACTGACAGAAAATCAAGAGTTCTCTGTAGTCCTTTTTGGTTGGTTATGCCTGTAAGATATCCATGTGAAGATGTCAAGTGGATATTTACGTATACAGATGTGGAGTTTTAGAGAAGGTCTAGGACTAGAAATACAAATTTGAAAATCAATGGCATATCAGTGGTATTTAAAGCCATGAGACTGAATTAGGTCACCCATTTAGGTAGTATGGGTTGGTGAATAAAAAGAGGCCTAGCCTCAAATGCTGAGGCACTCCTAACTTTCACAAGTTATTCAGAAAGGAAGAGGTAAAAAATAAATAAATGAGAAAGCTGCTTTTTGGAAAAATGGAGAGGGTTAATGGGCACAAAAAGTAGAAAGAATCAGTAAGACCTAGTATTTGCTGTCACAGCAGAGTGACTATAGTAAAAAAAAATTAATTATAACTTTTAAAATAACTAAAAGAATATAACTGGGTTCTTTGTAACACAAAGGATAAATGCTTGAAGATAATTTTCACGATAAAAATGCACCATAATTTGTTTAACCAGGTATGAATGGGTATGTAGATTTCTCCTCCAGTGTTTTGGGCATACTAGTAACACTTCCTTGAATGTCTTTTTATATTACTTTTATGTATTTGTGTAAGTATACTGTAGGATAAATTCCCACAAGTAGAATTGCTATGACAGAAGGCTATGTGTTTAAATTGTTATGGTTTCTGACAAATACCTCTCCAAAGACAGTATCCCAGTTTTTATCCCCATCAGCAATGGATGATAATGCTGGTTTTCCCAAATCCTTGTCAACAGTCTTAATCTCGGATGGACTTTTAAGTGAGAAGTGATGTCATTTTTTTATAGTTTCAAAACTGAATGAGTTTGCAGACTTCTGTATGTTTACTTAACTTTTGTGGTTTTTGTTCTTTGACTTACCTCTTCATGTCCTCTGATTTTTTTGGTAATAAGTTTGTTGTCTGTTTTTCACTGATTTGTTGTACCTCTTGAATTGTTCTTTTTTATAGGTGTTGCGAATGTTTTCACTTGTCTTCTGATTTCTGTTTATGATATTTACATTGTAGAAATTTAAAATTTTTATTTAGGACTTCTAACAAATGGCTTTTAGGGCTGGGCATGTTGGAATCCCAGCATTTTGGGAGGCCGAGGTGGGTGGATCACTTGAGACCAGGAGTTCAAGACCAGTCTGGCCAACATGGTGAAACCCTGTCTCTACCAAAAATGCAAAAATTAGCTGGGCATGGTGATGCCTGCTTGTAATCCCAGCTACTTGGGAGGCTAAGACAGGAGACTCTCGTGAACCTGGGAGGTGGGGGTTGTAGTGAGCCGAGATCACACCACTGCACTCCAGCCTGGGGCAAAAAAGAAAAAAACACTTTTGACTTTTATATGATATTTTAGAAAGGCTTTTTCTATTTAAGGATTTTTTCACCCTAATACTTTTATGGTTTAATTTGTATATTTTTTTTTGTCCCAGATACCAACATTTTTACCTTATCAGAATTAATTCTGACACTCATTTGATGAAAATTAAGATAATTTTGAAAAAGAAAAATGATGAGGAGGGAGTAAAATTAGTCTTAGAAAGCTGTACAATAAAAACAGTACAGTATTGGCCGGGCGCAATGGCTCACACCTGTAATCCCAGCACTTTGGGAGGCTGAGGTGGACAGATCACCTGAGGTCAGGAGTCTGAGATCAGCCTAACCAACATGGAGAAACCCCATCTCTACTAAAAATACAAATTTAGCCAGGCGTGGTGGCACATGTCTGTAATCCCAGCTACTCAGGAGGCTGAGGCAGGAGAATCACTTGAACCCAGGAGGAGGAGGTTGCAGTGAGCCAAGGTCACGCCATTGCACTCCAGCCTGGGTGACAGAGCAAGACTCCATCTCCAAAAAAAAAGTAGATAAAAGAAATAAGATTGAATGTATTCTGATCTTGGCCTAGAGAAGCTTTACATCTAAAAGCAAAGGCATCAAAAATGTATTTGCATTGCTTACCCATATTTATAGCTACATTCACAATAGCCAGAAGTTAGAAACAACCCAATGTCCACTTATAGATGAATAGATCAGCAAAATGTGATATATACATAAATGGAATATTTGAGCTTTAAAAAGGAAAGTATTGGCTCTGTAGAGAGCATTGGAAAAGAATTGTGACACATGCCATAGCGTGTCAGAACTTTGAAGTTAGTATGCTAAGTGAAATAACCTAGTCACACAAAAGGACAAATGTCGTATGATTGCACTTGCACGAAGTACCTAGAATAGTCACATTCATAGAGATAGAAAGTAGTAGAATGATGATTACCGGGAGCTGGGAAAAGTGGGAAATGAGTTGTTATTGTTAAATGGGTTTCAGTTACGGAAGATGAGAAAGTTCTGAAGGTAGATGTAGTGATGATTGCCTAACAGTGTGGATGTTACTCAGTGCCACAGAACTCGAAACAATGCTTCTAGACTTACAGTGATGTTACATTCCAACTAAACAATAGTTGAAAAAGTCAAAAATGCGTTTAATACAGCTAATCTACTGAACATCATAGCTTAGACTTGCCTCTGTAAATACTCAGCATACTTATGATAGCCTGCAGTTGAATAAAATCATCTAACATGAGGTCTATTTTATAGTGAAGTGCTGATCATCTCGTGGTTGTTTACCCCTGTGGTCATGTGGCTGTCTGGGAGCTGCCCAGCATCACAAGAGAGTATAATACCACATACCATTAGCCTAGGAAAAGATAAAAATTCAAAAATCAAAGTATGGTTTCTAGTGAATACGTATCACTTTTGCACCATTTATAAAGTCCAAATGTTAGTTGAACCATTGTACGTTGAGAACCATCTGTATTTAAATATGGTTAATATGGTAAATTTTGTGTGTGTGTGTGTGTGTGTGTGTGTATACATTTTTTTTTTTGAGATGGAGTCTAGCTCTGTCCGGGCTGGAGTGCAGTGGCACAATCTCAGCTCACTGCAACCTCCGCCTCCCAAGTTCAGGCAATTCTCCTTCCTCAGTATATTATGAATATTTAATCACAATTTAAAAAAAATGCAACAAAAATGACAGCATAGGTTTTCCTCTTTTATAAATAAATAGGAAAATGATTGCCACAGCAGAAAAATGACCAATGATATTAACAAAAAGTCTGAAAAACAAAAATAAAGGAATGGCTTAAGTAGAGTAGAAAAGGTTTTTGAACATGAGAAGGAAAAGAACCTAAGTGTCCAGACTGAGATGAGATACAAACGTGAAACCAGGATGGGGGCAGGATTTGAGGTAGAGATAAAGGCTGTGAGGGACAAAAAGTCAGTAAGAGGTAAAGTAACTAGAGAAATGTAGATGCTTGCTCTGAAAAAGATGGAGTTGTTGCTTAATGGCTTCCAAACCATCAGAGTTACCTGAGGAACTTAAACTTTCTACTTTAGTAGACTGGTTTTAGATTTACAGAAAAACTATGAAGATAGTACAGAGGTTTCCTGTATACCTTTATACCAGTTGCTTCTAGACTTACAATGGTGTTACATAATAACAATGGTTATTAACATCTTACATTAGCATGGTACATTTGTCACAAATAAAACAATATTAATACATGATTGTTAACTGAAGTTCATACTTTATTTAGATTTCCCTAATTTTTACTGAATGTCCTTTTTCTGTTCCAAGATCCCATCTAGGATACCACATTACATTTAGTTATGTCTCCTTAGCCTTCTCTTGGCATGACTGTTCCTGAGACTTTTCTTGTTCTTGATGAACTTGACAGTGTTAAGGAGTATGGTGAGGTATGTGTAGGATGCTCCACTGTTAGAATTTGTCTTAAGTTTTTCTCACGATTAGGCTGGGGTTACGGCTTTGAGGAGGAGGATCACGGAGGTAAAATAATCATTTTTATTACATCTTACCAAGGGTACATACTATCAACATGACTTAGCACTATTACTATTAACCTTGATCACAGTATTTTTCAGGTTTCTCCACAGTACAGTAACTTTTTTTCTCCTCTTTCCACATTGTATTCTTTGGAAGAAAGTTACTCTGCCCAGCCCATATTTACATGCTCTTCCTCCTTGAGAGGAGATGTCTACATAAACTATCTGCAGTTCTTCATGGAAGATTTATTGTCTCAATTATTCCATTTACTAATCAGTGTGGACTTACAGATGTTGATATCTTGGGTTATAATCCAATACTACTATATTCTGTTTCTCAGTTTTTTTCTGGCATTGTCTGTTGGAACCCCTTTCAGTTTGCATCTGTATGCCTTTGACATATAACTATTATTTATGTATACATTTTGAGTAGTTACTCACTTGCTGGGAGTGCAAAACTGTTATTTATGTATACATTTTGAGTAGTTACTCACTTGCTGGGAGTGCAAGATTTTCCAGACTCATCTTTTGTCTCCTGCCCTGGCCTAGGATCAGCCATTTCTCCTTTTACTGAGAAAGGTTAATAACCAAGTTCTGCATTTTAGGTGTGCTTCTTACTACTGAGGTGTTGCTGCTTGTGGGTTCTCTCCAGCTGACATAGGAAGGAAATATATGTGTATATTACTAACTTTATATGCATATAATTTTATATGTAATTACTTGTATGTGTATTAAACTGAGCATGAGTTTATATTCATATTTCCAGCTGTAATCCATTACCACATTCTAGCCTTCCTCCTGTCTTGTATATCTGTAACCTCTCACTCCAACAGTGAGAAATTTGGCTTCCATTTACCATCCATTTATTAATATTTGATTGTTCATTTCCTCTATACATGTTATAGTAGTTTCAGATTTTTTAAAAAATTATTTGAGAGAGAGTCTTGCTCTGTCACCTAGGCTAGGGTACAGGGGCACGATCATAGCTTACTGCAGCCTCAAACTCCTGGGCTCAAGTGATCCTCCTGCCTCAGTCTCCCAAGTAGCTGGGACTACAGATGTGTACCACCACACCCAGCTCATTTTAAAATATTTTTGTAGTTTTGCCTGGTGGCTTATACCTGTAATCCCAGCATTTTGGGCAGATCATTTGAGCTCAGAAGTTTGAGACCAGCTTGGGCAACATGGTGAAATCTCATCTCTGCCAAAAATACAAAATATTATCTGGGCATGGTGGTGTGAGTCTTTGGTCCCAGCTACTTGGGAGGCTGAGGCATGATCACAGCTCACTGCAACCTGCTACCGGGACCCAGGTGATCCTCCTGCTTCAGCCTCCTGAGTAGCTGGGACCACAGACTGTGCCACTGCACCTGGCTAATTAAAAAACTATTTTTTAGAGATAGGTCTCGCTGTGTTGCTTAGGCTGGTCTTAAACTCCTGGCCTCAAATGATCCTCCTACTTTGGCCTTCCAGAGTGCTGGGATTATAGGCATGAGCCACCTGTGCCCAGCCTAAACTATTTTAAGTATACAATCCCCAGTGAGTTTTTTTTTTTTCCTGTATATTCACAATGATGTGCAACTGTTGCCACTGCCTGATTCCAAAATACTTCCATCACCCAAAAGAAACCCTTGTAACAATTAAGCAGTTACTCCATGGTTTCTCAGTTCCCTGGCAAGCACTGGTGGAGCTTTCTAAAAAGGGTTTTGTCACTACTCTCAAATACTCCAATTCAGTACCTCTGAAAATGAAGCGAGGGATCTGTATCTTTTTAAAAAAGTATTCTACTTGCTTCTGGTAACCAGGCAAGTATGTATTATCAAGTGTTTTGAGCCTAAAAATGTACAGCTTATTAAATTTGAGAGTATATTGTAATGTTCTAGAAGCAGTTATAGGTATCAAGCAGTACCTCATCATAGCTAAAAGCAATGCCAACACAATTTGATTTTCTTTAAGAGTCAGCTTAGGGTTGAAATGAAAAAAAGAAATCATTTTATAAACTGTTAGTTTGTTGCATGCATGTTTAGATTTCAGATAAATTTAATCTGTAGTCGGTATTCATTCATCACTCAGTTTTGGTATATTTTGTTCTCCTTGTTTTCTCCTAGTTTTTGTTTTTTGTTTTTGTGGAGATGAGGTCTTACTGTGTTGCTTAGGCTAGTTTTGAACTCCTGGGCTCAAGTGATCCTCTCACCTTGGCCTTAGGGTGTGTGTTTCCTTAAATTTTTTTTTTTAAAGTCTGTTTACCTTAGTTCAGTCAGAAGGAAGCTATCCTTCTCAATGACCTCCGATACCTTAGTAAAAATGAACTTTTAAAGAATGGGTACTGATTGCCCAGTATGTAGCCATGGTCATGCTAAGTATCTCTGAAAACTTAGTTGGGAAAGATTTGTAGACAGACTTTAACTTTGATTCCTTTTTTTTTTTTTTTTTCAATTTCTGTTTTTAATTGAAAAATGATTATATATAGTTACGGGATACTATGTGATGTGTTGATATATTTATACATATGGAATGATTATACCAAGCTAATTAACACATTTGTTACCTCTCGTACTTACATATTTTGTTGTAGTGAGAACATTTAAATATTTATTTACAATTTTTTTTTTTTTAAGAGACAAGGTCTCACTTTGTTGCCCAGGCTGGAGTACAGTGACTCAATCATAGCTCACAGCAAGCCATCTTCCTGCTTCAGCCTCCCAAGTAGCTGTGACTACAGAGGCATACAGCCACACCCAGCTAATTTTTTTTCCTTCAGCTTTTAAGTTACGGGGTACATGTGCAGGATGTGCAGATTCGTTATTTAGGTAAACGTGTGCCATGTTCGTTTGCTGCACAGATCAACCCATCCCCTTGGTATTAAACCTCGCATCCAATAGCTGCTAGTCTTCCTTATGCTCTCCTTCCTCCAGCCTCTCCCTCCTAAGGGCCTCTGTGTGTGTTCCCCACCCACCATATATCCATGTGTTCTTATTGTTGGGCTCACCCAAGTGAGAACATGTGGTGGTTGGTTTTCTGTTGCCAAGTTAGTTTGCTGAGTATAACAGTTTCCAGCTCCATCCGTGTCTCTGCAAGGGACATGATTGCTTTCCTTTTTATGGCTGCATAGTACTCCGTGGTGTATATATACCACATTTTCTTTATGCAGTCTATTGTTGATGGGCGTTGAGGTTGATTTCACATCTTTGCTATTGTGAATAGTGCTGCAGTGAACATGCACATGCATGTATCTTTATAATAGAATGATTTCTATTCCTTTGGGTGTATACCTAGTAATGAGATTGCTGGGTCAAATGGCATTTCTGCTTCTAGATCTTTGAGGAATCACCACACTGTCTTCCACAATAGGTGAACTAATTTACACTCCCACTGACCGTGCAAAAACATTTCTTTTTCTCTACAACCTTGCCAGCATCTGTTTCTGGACTTTCTGACTGGCATGAGATGGTATCCCCTTGTGGTTTTGATTTGCATTTCTTTAATAATCAGTGATGTTGAGCTTTTTTCATGTTTGTTTGGCCACGTGAATGTCTTTTGAAAAATGTCTATTCATGTCCTATACCCACTTTTTAATATACTTTTTAATGGGGGCAGTTTCTTTTCTTGTAAATTTAAGTTCCTTGTAGACTCCAGATAGTAAACCTTAGTCAAAATGGACAGATTGCGAAAATTTTCTCCTATTCTCTAGGTTGCCTGTTCACTCTGATGATAGTTTCTTTTGTTTGCTGTATACAGAATCTCTTCAGTTTAATTAGAATCCCATTTGTCAATTTTTGCTTTTGTTGCTGTTGACATTTTCATCATGAACTCTTTGCCTCTGCCTATGTTTGGAATGATATTACCTAGATTTTCTTCTAGGATTTTTATAGTTTTGGGTTTTACATTTAAGCCTTTAATCCATCTTAATTGTTGTATAAGTTGTAAAGAAGGGGTCCAGTTTCAATTTTCTGTATATGGCTAGCCAGCTCTCCCAGCACCGTTTATTAAATAGGTAATCCTTTCCCCATTTCTTGTTTTTGTCAAGTTTCTCAAAGATCAGATGATTGTGTGTGTGCCTTCTTATATTTGAGTTCTCTATTTTGTTCAGTTGGTCTGTGTGTCTGTTTTTGTATCAGTACCATGATGTTTGGGTTATTGTAGCCTTGTAGTACAGTTTGAAGTTGGGTAACATGATTCCCACCTTTGTTTGTTTTCCTTAAGATTTTCTTGGCTATACAGGCTCTTTTTTGGTTCTGTATGAATTTTAAAGTAGCCTTTTCTAATTATGTGAAGAATGTCAACAGTAGTTTAATGGAAATTCCATTGAATCTATAAATTACTTTGGGCAGTATAGCCATTTTCACAATATTGATTCTTCCTATCCATGAGAATGAAATGTTTTTTGATTTGTTTGTGTCCTCTCTTATTTCCTTGACCAGTGATTTGTACTTCTCCTTGAAGAGGTCCTTCACTTCCCTTATTAGCTGTATTCCTAGGTATTTTATTCTCTTTGTAGCAATTGTGAATGGGAGTTCATTCATGATTTGCCCTGTTTGCCTGTTGTTGCTGTATAGGAATGCTAGTGATTTTTTCACATTGATTTTATATCCTGAGACTTTGCTGAAGTTGCTTATCAGCTTAAGAAGCTTTGGGGCAGAGACAATGTGATTTTCTAGATATAGGATCATGTCTTCTGCAAACAAAGATAATTTGACTTACTCTTTTCCTATTTGAATACAGTTTATTTATTTCTCTTGCCTGATTGCCCTGGCCAGAACTTGCAATACTGTGTTGAATAGAAATGGTGAGAGAGAGGGGATCCTTGTCTTGTGCCAGTTTTCAAGGAGAATGCTTCTAGATTTTGCCCATTTAGTATGATATTAGCTGTGGATTTGTCATATATGGCTCTTATTATTTTGAGATATGTTCCTTCAATACTTAGTTTGTTGAGAGTTTTTAACAGGAAGGAATGTTAAATTTTATGAAGGCCTTTTCTGCATCTATTGAGATAATCATGTGATTTTTGTCTTTAGTTCTGTTTATGTGATGAATTACATTTATTGATTTGTGTATGTTGAACCAACCTTGCATCCCAGGAATGAAGCCAACTGGATCATGGTGAAAAGCTTTTCGATGTGCTACTGGATTTGGTTTACCGGTATTTTATTGAGGATTTTTGCGTCAGTGTTCTTCAGGGATGTTGGCCTGAAGTTTTGTTTTTGTTGTGTCTCTGCCAGGTTTTGGTATCAGGTTGATGCTGGCCTTATAGAATGAGTTAGGGAGGAGTCTCTCCTTTTCAGTTTTGGAATAGTTTCAGTAGAAATGGTACCAGCCCTTTGTACCTCTAATAGAATTCAGCTGTAAGTTTGTCTGGTCCTGGGCTTTTTTTGATTGGTAGGCTATTATTGCCTCTATTTCAGAACTCATTATTGGTCTATTCAGGCATTCAGTTTCTTCCTGGTTCAGTCTTTGGAGGGTGTATGTGTCCAGAATTTACCCATTTCTTCTAGATTATCTTTGTGCATTGAGTCTATGTGCATAGAGATGTTTATAGTATTCTCTGATGGTTGTGTTTCTGTAGAGTCATTGGTGATATCCCCATTGACCATTTCTGATTATGTCTATTTGACTCTTCTCTCTTTTCTTCTGAGTCTAGCTAGCAGTCTGTTTTATTAAAATTTTTCAAAAAACCAACTCCTGGATTTCTTGGGGTTTTTTCTTTTTTGGTTTTTTTTTTTTTTTTTGAGACGGAGTTTCGCTCTTGTTATCCAGGCTAGAGTGCAATGGTGCAATCTTGGCTCACCACAACCTCCGCCTCCTGGGTTCAGGCAGTTCTCTTGCCTCAGCCTCCCGAGTAGCTGGGATTACAGGCACGTGCCACCATGCCCAGCTAATTTTTTGTATTTTGAGTAGAGACGGGGTTTCACCATGTTGACCAGGATGGTCTCGATCTTTTGACCTTGTGATCCACCCACCTCAGCCTCGCAAAGTGCCGGGATTACAGGCTTGAGCCACCACGCCCGGCCAGGTTTTTTTTAAAGGATTTTTCTGTGTCTCTGTCTCCTTCCGTTCAGCTCTGATCTTGGTTACGTCTTGTCTTCTACTTGCTTTGGTGTTTGTTTGCTCTTGGTTCTTTAGTTCTTTTAATTGTGATGTTAGGTTGTTAATTTGATATCTTCCTAGCTTTTTGATGTGGGCATTTAGTGCTATAAATTTCCTTCTTAACGCTGTTTTAGCTGCATCCCAGAGATTATGGTATGTTGTCTCTTTGTTCTCATTAGTTTCCAAGAACTTCTTGATTTCTGCCTTAATTTTATTATTTGCCCAGGAGTCATTCAGGAGCAGGTTGTTTCATTTACATGTAGTTGTATGGTTTTGAGTGAATTTCTTAGTCTTGAGTTCTCATTTGTGCTGTTTTCTTAGAGTTTGTTGTAATTTTAGTTCTTTTGCATTTGCTGAAGATGAGTGTTTTATTAATACTTCTGATTATGTGATCAATTTTAGAGTAAGTGTCATGTGGTGATGAGAAGAATACATAATCTGTTTTCGGGTGGAGAGTTCTGTAGAGATATCAGGTCTGCTTAATCCAGAGTTGAGTTTAGGTCCTGAGTATCTTTGTTAATTTTCTGTGTCTGTGATCTGTCTAATATTGTCAGTCGGGTGTTAAAGTCTGCCACTATTATTATGTGTGAGTCTAAGTCTCTTTGTAGGTCTCTAAGAACTTGCTTTATGAATCTGGGTGCTCCTTTATTGGGTGCATATATATTTAGGATAATTAGCTCTTCTTGTTGAATTGAACCCTTTATGTTATGTAATGCCTTTCTTTGTCTTTTTTGATCTTTGTTGTTTTAAAGTCTTGTTTTGTCAGAAACCAGGATTGCGACCCCTGCTTTTTTCTGTTTTCCATTTGCTTGGTAAGTTTTTCACCATCCCTTTATTTTGAGCCCATGTGTATCTTTGCACTTCAGTGGTCTCTTGAAGACAGCATACCGATGGGTCTTGATCCTTTATACATTTTGGCATTCTGTGTCTTTTAATTGGGACATTCAGCCCATTTACATTTAAGGTGAATATTGTTATTAGTGAATTTGATCCTGTCATCATGATGCTAGTTATTTTGCAGACTTGTTTATGTGGTTGCATCATAGTGTCACTGGTCCATGTACTTCAGTGTGTTTTGTAGTAGCAGGCAGTGGAAAGGAAAGTTTTTCCTTTCCATATTTAGTGCTTCCTTCAGGAGCTCTTGCAAGGCAGTGATGAATACTCTCAGCATTTGCTTATCTAAAATGAATCTTATTTCTCCTTTATGAAGCTTAGTTTGGCTGGATATACAATTCTAGATTGGAAGTTCTTTAAGAATGTTCAGGCTGGGAGCGGTGGCTCATGCCTGTAATGCCAGCACTTTGGGAGGCCAAGGTGGGTGGATCAGCTGAGGTCAGGAGTTCAAGACCAGCCTGAGCAACATGGCAAAACCCCATCTCTACTAAAAATACGAAAATTAACCAGGTGTAGTGGCACGCACCTGTAATCCCAGCTACTTGGGAGGCTGAGGCAAGAGAATCACTTGAACCCAGGAGGTGGAGGCTGCAGTGAGCCAGGGTTGTACCATTGCACTTCAGCCTGGGCAAGAAGAGTGAAATGCCATCTCAAAAAAGAATGTTGAATATTGGTCCCCAATTTTTCTGGCCAGTAGGGTTTCCACTGAGAGGTCCACTGTTAGTCTGATGGGTTTCCCTTTGTAGGTGACCTGGCCTTTCTCTCTGGCTGCCCTTAGCATTTTTTCTTTTGTTTCAACCTTGGGAGAATATGATGATGATGTGTCTGGGATTGATCATCTTACTGGGGTTCTCTGGAATTCCTGAATTTGAATGTTGGCGCAGTTTTCCTGGATAATATCCTGAAGTATGTTTTCCAATTTGATTATATTCTCCTCATCTCTTTCAGGTACCCCAACTGGTTATAGGTATGGTCTTTTTACGTAGTCCCATATTTCTCAGAGGTTTTGTTCATTGCTTTTCATTCTTTTTTCTCTATTGTCTGCCTTATTTCGAAAAGATAGTCTTCAAGCTCTGAGATTCTTTCCTCTGCTTGGTCTATTTTGCTATTGATACTTGTGGTTGCATTGTGAATTTCTCATGTTGTGTTTCTCAGCTCCATCAGGTCAATCATGCTCCTCTCTAAAATGGCTCTTCTGTTTAGAAGCTCCTCTGTTTTATCACAATTTTTAGCTTCTCTGCATTGGGTTACAACATGTTCCTTTAGCTCAGCAGAGTTCATTATCAGCCACCATCTGAACCCTACTTCTGTCAGTTCAGCCATCTCAACCTCAGCCCAGTTCTGTGCCCTTGCTGGAGAGGTGTTGTGGATATTTGTGGAGAAGAGGCACTCTGGCTTCTTGAGTTTCCAGCATTTTTTGTGTTGATTATTTCTCATTATTGTGGGCTTATCTACCTTCGATTTTTGAGGTTGCTGATCTTTAAGTGGGGCTTTTATGGTGTCTTTTTTGTTGATGCTGCTGCTGCTGCTGCTGCTGTTGTCTATTTGCTTTTCTTTTAACAGTCAGGCCACTTTTCCATAGGGCTGCTGCAGTTTGATGGGAGATTGCTCCAGACTCTAGTTGTCTTGGTTTTTCCCTTACCTGTATGTATATCACCAGTGAAGGCTGTGAAACAGCAAAGATAGCAGACTGCTCCTTCCTCTTGGAGCTCCATCCCTGGGGGTAGTACTGACCTGTTGCCAGCCTGGATGCTCCTGTAGGAGACGTCTGGTGATCCCTGTTGGGTAGTCTCACCCAGTCAGGAGGAACAGGATCAGGGACCTGCTTAAAGTAGTAGTCTGGCTGCTTTTTGGTAGATAAGGTGTGCTGCATTAGGGGTAACCCTTCCTTTCCCAGACTGCCTGGACTCTCCAGAGCCAGCCAGCTAGGAAGGCTGAGCCAACTGAACCACAGAGATGTTGGCAGCTCCTCTCCCACTGAGGGCTTCATCCCAGGGAGAGATCAGAGTACTGTTCATGTAACACTGGCTAAAGCTGAAATTCCCACAGGGAGGTCCCACCCAGTGAGGAGGGATGGATTGGGGTCCCATTTAAAAAAGCAGTCTGGCCATGTTCTGGCACAGCACCTGTGCTGCCTTGTGAGGGACTCATCATCAGGACTGCCTGGATTCTTGGGAACAGGCTAGAACAGCTGAGTCGACTGAACTGCAGAAATGGCAGCTGCCCCTCCTCCTGGGAACTCATCCATTTCAGGCAGTCTCTAGCCTGTTGCACTGGTTGGCTAGAATTCAAAGCCAGTGGGTTGAGGTGCCATGGGAATGAGGCCCGCAGAACGACACTGGTTCCCAGGATTCAGCCCCTTCCTAGGGGAGTGTACAGATGGGAATCCCAGCAAGGTGGGAGATCAAGGCTGGAGTCTGTAAAACTCCTGGGTTTCTGTGTAAGCCTGAGCAACTGCTCTGCCAAGACTCCACACAGCTCTGTATATTGAGCCTAAGGCCCTGGTGGCCTGGGTTCACAAGGGGATCTCCTGATCCGCGGGTTGTGGAGATTCATTGGAGAAGTGTGGTTTCCTGGGTGAGGTTACACAATCACTCAAGGGAAGCCAAGCTTCCCTTGGCTGGGGATGGGGGTTCCTTTGGCTCCTCAATGTTCCTGGGTGAGCCATTGGAAAAAGCCAGGCTTTTCCTGGGGAAAAGCCCCACCTTGCTTTTTTTGTTCTCCATGGATCATGACATCTTCCTAGTAAGTCCCATTGTGAGAACCTGGACATTTCAATTGAAGGTGCTGAATTCACTTGCTATTTTCATTCTTCTCTGTGAGGGTCACAGACTGCAGCTGTTTCTATTCTGCCATCTTGGCTCTTCCTGCCTCCTCCTCGTCTTACAGGTGGAAGCTGAGGAATAATCCCAGTGCTTTGTGAAACTGCTGTGAAGAATTTTCAGGTCAAACTTAAGTTGGAAGATAGTGACTAGAGCAAAGAGATGAAAGCATTTAATTTTTTTTTTCCTCCTTGATGGAGTCTTGCTCTGTCACCCAGGCAGGAGAGCAGTGGTGCAGTCTCGACTCACTGCAGCCTCCACCCAGGTTCAAGCAATTCTTCTGCCTCAGCCTCCAGAGTAGCTGGGATTACCAGTGTGTGCCACCATGCCTGGCTAATTTTTTATATGACCAACACATTTAAAGCATTGATTCTGAGGGTCTAGAATGCACTAAGTGCTGCAAGACTGTAAAGTGATCTCAGAATAGACTGTCATTCTTAACGGAATGCTTCTGTAGATATTCCCTTGTATTATGTATGTGCAGTCTTCATGTCTGTAGCATGCAGATTTGCAAATTCTATTTCTGTTCTCCATAGTCCTCGAGGCCACACTGGTAACTAGAGGTGTTTTTTTCTCTCACTTTGCAAATAATCTGAGTTGTCTTTCTCTATTCTTGGATTCCCTGCCTCCCATTCTCCCTCCTTTTGTTAATGTTCAGTAGTTTTTCTTCCAGAGAAATGGTCTCAAGCCTTCTTTCCTTTTTGATCACTTGATCAGCTTTTCAAAAGCTCCTCTTTTTTTTGAGACAGTCTTGCCCTGTCACCCAGGCTGGAGTGCAGTGACACTATCTTGGCTCAGTGCAGCCTCTGTCTTGCTGGTTCAAGCAGTTCTTGAGCCTTACCTTCCTGAGTAGCTGGGACTACACCTGCATGCCACCATGCCCCATTAGTAGAGATGGGGTTTCACCATGTTGCCCATACTGAACTCCTGAGCTCAGGCAATCTGCCTGCCTCGGCCTCCCAAGGTGCCAAAATTACAGGTGTGAGCCATCTCACCCAGCCAAAACCTCTTTTTGACAAAGTTCAGCCTCATCCTGTAGGTGATTTTGTACTCTCTGCTAAGATAAAGTTTTTTCCAAATTGTTAGCCTCAGATGAAGAGCAATTCATAAACAAAAAAAGAACTATTGTACTGAGAAGTCTGTCAAAAAAGACTAGTTGCATTGCAGTTACCTCAGCTTTCAAGAAGGATGTTTATCTGTGTATCATTGCCATTGTCTTGAGTTGTGTTTTTTGATTCTGCTGGTCTTGTTATTATAACTTAGCATTAGTTTAGTGTCCTTGCTAAGATAATAACATTAGTTTAAGACAAAGATAGGTCACACTCCACACCAGTAGGTGAACATTTCTGTTGGGCACATATCTTTGTATGATAGAAAGTTTTAGCTTTGGTTATAATTTTGACTGAGAAAACAAACAAACACCATTCTTTTTTTTTGAGACTGGGGCTGGCTCTGTCAGCCAGGTTGGAGTAGCTCTGCTGCCCAGGCCAAAGTGCAGTGGTGCGATCTCAGCTTACTGCAACCTCTGCCTCCCAGGCTCAAGCAGTCCTCCCACCTCAGCCTCCCCAGTAGCAGGGCTTATAGGTACACATCACCATAGCCAGCTAACTTTTTAATTTTTGTAGAGACAGGGTTTTGCCCAGACTGGTCTCAAAGTTCTGAGCTCAAGCAATCTATCCTCCTCAGCCTCTCAAAGTGCTTGGATTACAGGTGGGAGCCACTGATACAGCCCAAACTCGGTTTTTAAGGTGCTTATACTTAAGGGGAGAAAAAGGCATATGTACATGTTCTCACCCAAATGTTTAGTTTACACTGGAGTTTTTGATGTACCTATATTTTGGTACCTTAGAATAGCAACCAGAATGTTTTGCCTTCATTATAAACAGAATTATTTAGAAATTGCAGTGATATTAAACAATATATTTTTAGTATCCCTTCAATGATCCCAAGTAGTAATGCCATTTAAAAAAACACTGAGAGAATACTTGGTTATTTTGTTTTAGAAGAATATACATTTTGCTACTGTAAATTAGAGTGGAAAACTGTCTAATAGCATACATTTAGAGAATGTTAATCCTGGAAGTCACTGTTCGATAAATACATAGACTCTGGTCTGTAAGGAACAAAAACACATTTTAAGGGAGGAAACATCTTTGAAGGCAGAGTAGAATCTGTAAACTGCATCATTTAGCTGTTGGATAACAGAGTCTACAGTAGAGCTTGCAGCTGGTTGGCTTAAACAGAAAAGTAGCCCTGAACAAGTATTAATACCTCTGTGCAGCCCTTAGGGCACAGAAATTGAAGTGCAGGCAGTCTAATAGCCACCAAGACTGTTATACAAAGAATGGAGGAATATGAAGAACTCTGAGCCACATGAAAATACCACCAAGTACTTTCATTTAGAAAGTGACTGTACCACAATGCATCATTGCCCATCCCCTCTCACCCCTAGCCACATATGAGAGTTCCAGTTTCTCACCAGCGTTTGGTCTTCTAGATCTTTATTTTAACCATTCTGGTGGATGACATCTCATTGTTTTTATTATTTTAAAAATTTAATTGACACATAATATTTGTACATATTGTGGGATACATCTGATGTTTTCTTATATGTATAGAACATATGATCAAATCAGATTATTTAGGATTTTATCACTGAGTATTTGTCATTTCTGCTTTAGGAACATTTCAGGTTTTTACTAACTATTTTGAAATATGTAATATTGTTAATTATAGTCACTCTACTATGCTGTCAAACATTAGAACTTATTTTTTCTATCTATGTTTGTACCCATTAACCGTCCTCTCGTCATCCCCCACCCTCCACACATACCCTTTCTAGTCTCTATTAGCTGTCATTCCTTCTACCTTCATGAGATCAACTTTTTTAGCTCTCACATATGAATGAGAACATCTCATTATTAATTTTCCTGGGGACTAATGAGGTTGTACATCTTTTCCTGTGCTTATTTGCAATTCATAATATGTTCTTTGCTGAACCGTTAAAAGCTTCTACTCACTTTTAAACTGGGTTTATCTTATTGATTCATAAGAATTATTTATATGTCCTTTAGAGTTATGTAAGTCCTTTAGAGTGATATAATTTGGATATAAGTCCTTTCGAATTATATAATCTAGATATAAGTCTTTTATAAAGACATGATTTGCAAGTATTTTCTCCCAATATGGCTGGCTTTTCATTTTCTTAACATATTAACAGGGTCATTTAAAGAGCAGAAGTTTTTGTGATGTCTAATTTATCCATTTTTTTGCTTTTATAATTTTTCTTTTTGTTGCTTATTTAAGAAATATTTGTCTAATCCAAGGCCACTAAATACTCTGTTTTCTGCTGGAATTTGTGTAGTTTTAGCTCATAAATTTAGATTTACGATGTATTTTGAGGTAATTTTTCTCTGTGAAGTGTCAAGGGTTTTTTTTTTTCTTTTGTTTTGCATTTGGATATACAGTTGTTCCAAGATCATTTACTGGAAGAAATATATCCTTTCCTCAGTGAATTACATTGACAAATTTGTTGAAAATCTGTTCGACGCATATGTGTAGATCTGTTTCTGGACTTTTCATTCTGTTCCATTAACCTGTAAGTCAGTCTTTACATTAGTAAACACTGTTTTGCTTGATGTATCTTTGTTAGTAACTATGAAAGTCAGGTAATGTGAATCTACCAGTTTATTTTTTTCTCAACATTATTTGGACTTTTCTAGGTTCTTTACATTTTCATGTACATCATAGAAACAATTTGTCAGTTCCAAAAAACAAAATAAAACAAAACACAACTGGGATTTTGACTAGGAGTCCCTTGAATTTATAGAGCAATTTGGAGCGATTGACATTTTAATGACATTGAGTCTTCGATTCATGAGCATGGCATATCATTCTCTACATATTTAGGTCTTTTCACACTTGTTTCAGAAGCGTTTTGTATTTGTCATTGTACACTCTTATATATACATTTTGTTATATTTATCCCTGAGAATTTAATGTTTTTGATGCTATCGTAGGTTGCATTTTAAATTTTAATTTCTAATTGCTTATTGCTAGTATGTAGAAAAAATTTTTCACATATTCACCATATATTCTTAAATATATTTAGTTAACTCTAATAATTTAGTATTTCTGATTCCGTTTTAGGTTGTATTTTTAATTTCAATTTCCAATTGAGTATTGCTAGTATGTAGAAATAAATTTTTATATTTTGACCAGGTATTCTATGTCCTTCCTATCTATACTCATGTATTAGTTCTAATAGATTTTTTGTAGATACCTTTGCTTGTCTACATAGATGATCATGGTATCTGGAAATAAGGCCTATTTTACTACTTCTTTCCAAGCTGTATGTCTTTCTTTTTTTTTTCTTTTTTTTTTTTGAGATGGAGTTTCGCTCTTGTTACCTAGGCTGGAGTGCAATGGCGCGATCTCGGCTCACAGCAACCTCCACCTCCTGGGTTCAGGCAATTCTCCTGCCTCAGCCTCCTGAGTAGCTGGGATCACAGGCATGCGCCACCATGCCCAGCTAATTTTTTTTGTATTTTTAGTAGAGACGGGGTTTCACCATGTTGACCAGGATGGTCTCGATCTCTTGACCTCGTGATCCACCCGCCTCGGCCTCCCAAAAAGTGCTGGGATTACAGGCGTGAGCCACCGTACCCAGCATCTTTTTTTTTTTTTCTTGCCTTATTTAACTACATAGGACCACTAGTAAGTACAATGTTGAATAGGAATGGTGAAAGTGAATATTCTTGCCTAATTATTGACCTTAGCATTCAAGGTCCTTTCTAATTCTGGTTTGCTGAGAGTTGTTTATTATTAATGAGTATTGTATGTTACCAACATATTTTCTCTAATCTGTTGAGTTGGTCATACATTTTTGTGGTTTAATACAGTAAACGCCATATATTGATTTTTTTTGAGGGTGGGTGCAGGGCCAGGGCCTCATTCTGTCACCCAGGCTGGAGTGCAGTGGCCTGATCATGGCTCACTGCAGCCTCGACCTCCTGGGCTCTAGCAATCCTCCCACCTCAGCCTCTTGAGAAGATGGGACCACCTGCATGGACCACCATGCCCAGTTAATTTTTGTATTTTTAGTAGAGGTGGAGTTTTGCCATGTTATCCTCAGGCTGGTCTTCAACTTTTGGGTTCAAGCTGTCTGCCCACTTGGCCTCCCAAAGTGCTGGGATTACAGGTGTGAGCTGCCATACCTGGCTTGGCTTTACTTCTTTATTGTCTATGAACAAACTTTGTATAGTTTTCATTATTTTAAATTTGTTAAAGTTTGTTTTATGACACACCATGTGGCCTCTCTTGGGGAATATTCTGTGTGCCCTTGAAAAAAGAGGGTATTCTGTTGAGCAGATATTTCTGTAAACATCAATTAGAACCAACTGATTAAGGGCATTTTTCAGTTCTTATATAATCCTTGCTAATGTTCTGTCAATAAAAAGTGTAATAGTTGAAGCCTCCAGCTATAGTTATGAATTAATCTATTTTGTCTGTCCGTTGGCAGTTTTTGTTTCATGTATTTTGAAGCTCTGTTGTTGGTTGCATGCACATGTAGAATTGATATGTTGTCTTAGTGAATTGACCCCTTTATCATCATGTCATATATAATGTCCCTCTTCATTCTGAAGTCCATGTTAACATAGGCACTCAAACTTGCTTTCTTTCCAAGCACTTGGAAACTCAAGTGCTTCCATGTGTTCTTTTTCCATTCTTTTACTTTAACCTACCTATTATTATATTTGAAATGAACTTTTCTTGTTTTTTTTCCCCTCATTCTGGCATTCTCTGTCTTTTGATGTGTTTAGGCCATTTGTGTTTTATGTAATAATATTTGGGATTAGGTCTATATCACTTTATAACCTAGTTGCTCAGTTTTTCTTTTCCTGCCTTCTATTGGATTATTTGTACATTTTTAAATATTGCATTTTAACTTACCTAGTGTGATTTGTATTACTTTTTGTATAGTTATTATATAGTGGTTGCTCTAGGGATTACAGTATACATCTTGAACCCAGAAGCTAACTTCATACTAAGTGCTTAATATTTGTGGATTGAAGGAATAATTTTGGAATCCAATTGTAATTTTTATTGTTACTGTTGACATTTTTCTAAATAATTATTGAAAAATAATATAAGCTTTTCTTTACATAGAATTTATTTTAATATATTATTTCACTGTAGAATTTTCTCAAATAATATTTATGACACTCCTTTAGTTCATTAAAACCTTTACTTCATGTACAAAGGAGACATTATTTTATCTTCATAGTCTCACTTAGACTGATGTTTATATGTGTTATATTGCTCAGTTTTGCTTTTGAGCCAATCTTTTTGTTTTTATGTGACTCATGGCTTTAACCCCATAAGCTTCACCAGTGGCTAGCTTTGTGGGCAGTGCTATATTTACATGATTGTTTATATGTTAATATTTGAAACAGTTGAATGGCCCCAAGGTAAGTTCTGCCTTTTGAGTAGTGTCAGAAGTTTCTTAATTTCTTCAAGTTTGGTTCCTTCTCTATAAAATGAAAGATTTGAACTGTTTTTCTATGGTAGTTTTTTGTGTTGAAGATATACTAATTTAACTATTTCCAGATTAATATGGCTTTGATAATTTACAAATTAGCTCAGTTTATTTAAGGGATTTTTGGTTTTTTCTTTTTTTTTCCTGTCAAAACCAAAGAAATTTTAAAGCACCAACAGGACAGCAGATTTTACTAATACTCTGCTCAAGGTGTCTGAGTTTTAATAATTCACATAGATACTAGAATGACAGCTAACTTATATCTATGATATTCATTTGTAGGAGATTTATAGAAAAGAGAGCTCAAAGTAATTTTGTCAGTCATTCTGCTCGTTGTTGTAGCCCAAGTAGTGCTCTCCTTGGCCAGCAGTCTCAGGTTAGCCCAGTGCTATGCAGTAGACCTTTCTGTGATTACATAAATGTATATTGGTGCTGTATAGGCAGTGGCTAGTTTAATTTTATTTTAATTAATTTTAAATTGCTACATATAGGTAATAGATCATCAGACAGCAACGTAAGTGTAGCCTCATAGGTTCCTCTTTAATATGTAAAGCCCCTTGGAATCTTTTTGGATCACTCAGGCATAAACTTGTCATAATCATAAGCTCCTGGAAGAATCTTTGATCTATTAAGCTTGTAAAATAGGAAAGAGAAGGCTGAACAAATTGGAAATAATATATACAGTGGTGATTATGTACAATAGAAGTATATTAATTAATAGGTTGATAAAGTAACTAAATGGCTGAGGATGTTCAGTGAAAGAAAAACTACCTAGGGATTTTAAATGGGAAGGGTTTAATGTAGGGAATTAGGTGTTGTAAAATTAGTGATCAGACGTAGCATGTTCTTGGTTGGGTCTTTAGATATGACTTCCAAACCAACACAGAACTACCAGGGCATCTGTTAGGAGCTCCCATTATGGATTCCTGCTGAAAAGAGAAACACTTTATCACTGCTTCCACTTCACTGCTTTTGGATACTCAGAAAGCTGGAGACTACTTGTCTAGAGAATATGGGAAGAGATTTATAAAAGTAATTCTCTTCTTTTCGGTGACAAGGTGAGTGTACTTGACTAAGACAACCATGAAAAATAAGGTGAAAACTTATTTTAGCTTAGGATAGACTCTCTGAAAAAATAAGTTATCTTTTTTTTTTTTTGGAGACGGAGTCTTGCTCTGTCACCAGGCTGGAGTGCAATGATGTAATCTCGATTCACTGCAACCTCCGCCTCCCAGGTTAAAGCGATTCTTCTGCCTCAGCCTCCTGAGTAGCTGGGACTACAGGCACGTGCCAGCATGCCCAGCTAATTTTTGTATTTTAAATAGAGATGGGGTTTCGCCATGTTGGTTAGATGGTCTCGATCTCTGGACCTTGTGATCCATCCACCTCAGCCTCCCAAAGTGCTGGGATTACAGGTGCGAGCCACCACGCCTGACGGAAAGTAAGTTATAGAGACAGAGAAAACAAATTGGACTAATTGTAGTGCATAAACTTTAAGTAGGTTCTTTTGTATATGCATTCAAATAACTCTTACATGTCTATTCTTTACAGATCCAGGATGAGAAGACTGATAAAAGAAGAAGCTAGCTGAAGAGCTATAAAATGCCCAAATCTGGGTTCACAAAACCAGTTCAGAGTGAAAATTCTGACAGTGACAGCAATATGGTAGAGAAACCATATGGAAGAAAGGTATATGATTATACTAAAGATTTATTGACTCTTTGAACTGGGAAAAAGACTCCCAGTTAAGAATTTTTAGTAATTTCTCATAAGACAAAAACCAATATGGAGGTCAGATAAATCCAAAACCATTTATGTATGCCCTTTAGAAATAAATTGGATTCCTGGGAAAGTAATTGTTTTTCATTCCCTGAGGTGAACACACAACTACTAAGTAAAACACAATTACTAAGATTGTGCAATTAAGAATAATCATTGAGAGAGGGAAAAATTTTTATTATAAGTCATTGTCAGTGACCTGTGATTCCATCTTTTTATATCTATCCTTTTTCATTCCTACTTAGACCCTCAGAACCTTAGTTTGGACTTCCTCAGTTGTCTCCTAACTGGTCTCACTATCCCTAGTCTCTCCTTATCTCTGGTTTTATACATTGTCTTTGAATTTTTTCTTTCTGTTTACTTTTTTCTTTTAGGTCTTTTTAAAGCCATTTTCTTATGGAAAGATGTCTGAGGTTTTTCCAGACATTTTTAGCTAACAAAGTTGTGCAGCTATCATTACAATAAGTTTTTAGAACATTTCAATCATTGTGGAAAGATCTTTGTTGCCCTAAACCCTCCAGGCAATCTCAAATCTGCTTTCAAAATCAAGAAGTATGTTTTCAAACTGCATTCTTTTCAAAACTGTTTTGAGTCCTTCATGCTTTCACATAAATTTTGGGATCAGCTTGTCAGTTTCTACAAAAATACCTGCTGTGATTTTGAAGGAATTTTATCAAATTTGTTCATTGAATCTGTAGATCACTTTGAGTTGTATTGCCATCTTCATATTGTCTTCCAATCCATGAACATGGAATATCTCTTCATTTATTTAGATCTTCTTAAGTTTGTCTCAGCAGTGTTTTGTCGTTTTCAGTGTATAGGTCTTGCATTCTGTTGTTAAATTATTTGTAAGTATTTTATTCTCTCAGTGCTATTATGGATAATTTCATTTTGGGTTTTTTATTGCTAGTACAGAAATATATTTGATTTTTGATGTAGTTATCTGTATCCTATGATCTTAATCATTACTTGTAACAATTGGTAATTCCTTAGGACTTACTTTCTACATATAGAACCATATTTTCTCTGAATAAAGATAATTTACTTCTTTTCCAGTCTAGAAAATTTCTTTTTTTGCTTGATAATCTTTATTCCCCCCGCCTTTTTCCCCCTGATTGCATTGGCAAACTCTTCTTGATTATGGTATTTAGTCTACTCACATTTAACATAATTGTTGATATGACTTATATCTGATGATAATTTGTATGTGCTATTTCGTTCTTTATTTTATTTTTTTTTGAGACGGAGTTTTGCTCTTGTTGCCCAGGCTGGAGTGCAATGGCACTATCTCAGCTCACGGCAACCTCTGCCTCCTGGGTTCAGGCAATTCTCCTGCCTCAGCCTCCTGAGTAGCTGGGATTACAGGCACGCACCACCATGCCCAGCTAATTTTTTGTATTTTTAGTAGAGATGGGGTTTCACCATGTTGAGCAGGATGGTCTCGATCTCTTGACCTCGTGATCCACCTGCCTTGGCCTCCCAAAGTGCTGGGATTACAGGCTTGAGCCACCGTGTCCGGCCTATTTTGTTCTTTAACATATATTTCATGTCATTTTTGTTACCTCTTTTATGTTGCCATTTTTTGTTTTAAATATTTTTTCATGTACTATTTTAATTTCTTTGATTTTTTTAAACTGTGTTTATTATTTTAGACATTCATTCCAGAGCTTGTAATACACATTCTAATTGATCACAGTCTACTACAGGTTGATACTGACACAATTACAGTAAAATATAGCAGCTTTGCTTCAATATAGCTTCATTTTCTTCCTTTGTGTTATTTATATAGCATTGATTACATCTACATATGTTACTAACCAAACAAAAGAATGTTATAATTATTTGATACAAAATCTTGTCTTTTAAAGAAATAAGGAAATATATGTTTATGCAGTTTCAGATTTCCCCACAAATTTACTGATTTTGGTATTCTTAATTTTCTCTTATGGATTCCAGTTACTCTCTGGTATAAGAATTTTCCTTAGTATTTACTGTAAGGCAAGTCTTCAGCCATGAATTCTGTTAATCTTTTTTTGATCTAGATAGGAATATCTTGATAATACCTTTTTTTGTTGAGACAGGGTTTCAGTCTGTTGCCCAGGCTGGAGTGCAGTCTCAGCTCACTGCAGCCTTGACCTCTCAGGCTCAAGCAGTCCTCCCACTTCAGCCTCCTGAGTAGCTGGGACCACAGGTACACACCACTATGCCCAGAAATAGGGTTTCATCATGTTGCCCAGGCTAGTCCCAAACCTCCTGGCCTCAGGTGATCTACCTGCCTCAGCCTCCCACAGTGCTGAGATTATAACTGTGAGCCACCATACCCTGGCTGATTTTAATAAGTAGCTTTATTGAGATATAATTGATATACCATACATTTAAAGCATATAACCATACATATAAAGTTTTTAGTATGTTTACAGAGTTGTACAGTCACAACCACAATCAGTTTTAGAAGTTTCACCCCAGTATATACTCTTGAGAGAATGAGAGAGAAAGAGAAAAATAATATCTTAATATTAATATGAACATACTGACATACTGACCTTGCAGATCCCCTCAGGTGACCTCAAGGACCATCATTTGAGAACCACTGTGCCCATGTAATAAGCTCATTAATGAAACTACTGAGTGTATAGTGATGGGAGGAAAAAAGGAGAGAATACTGCTTAACAGGTTCAGGGATAGCCTAACTGTAGAACAGGTACTTAATCTGGGTTCTTAAGGATGAATATGCATTTGACGAGAAGGAAAGTGAAAGTAAAGGGTAGTATAAGCAAAAGAAACAGGAAATGAAATGAGTTGGGATGAAGCCTATGGAGGATAGGAGGTGAGTCTGTAAACATTAAACAGCAGTTCATTATAATCTTGTAAAGGATTCTAGAATTTATTCTGTAGTCAGTGAGCTGGAAGGGAAGGGTCATAGAAGAAACCAGAGTGCTATTTAATAAAATTTAAGTAGGAGGCAGCATGGGCAGTGGCTTTTGGGATGTAGAGAGGTTGGCAGATCTAAAAGCTGTTGAATGAATTGAACTTGTGTCTGGAAAAAAAATAGTCTGGGACTACTCTGAGTTCATTTCCATTACTAGGTTAATGATTGGGCCATTTCCCTAAAGGAAATTCAAGAGAAGGAACAGGTTGTTTTGAGTAAGTTTGCTTTGTACTTGCTGAATGAGGTTGACTCTAGGAACATCCAAATAGAAATGTTTAGTAGGCAGATACTAGTTTAAGAGCTCAAAACAAGTCTAGATTGGAAATAATATATGAGGATTTTTAGAAAGTAAGTATGGAAAAGTGTACAAAGTGTATAAAGTGGTGCAAGAATGGAGGAGGATATACTCTGAGGAATTCAAATTTAGGAGGAGCAAAGAGGCAAGGAAAGAGGACAGAGAGAACCAAAGGAGGTTTCACAGAGAATGGCTAAGGAAGGAGAGAATCTGCATTGCTAAATGCCACAGAGAGGTTAGTAAGGTGAGACCATTGAAACATTTTAGATGATCTTGTTGAGTTCAGTGGAGAAATGGGGACAGAATATACTGTTAGATTTGAAGAAAGCATTAGAACTTTTATTTCTGCTTGTTTAAGTATAGTGAAGGTTACATTTGTGAAAGTTCATCTGGATTGTTTGATGCCACTTTTTGGATTTGAGTTTATAAGGCTAAACTCACTGAAACTTGAATTGTTCCTAATACTTTCCGTGTTTCTTTTGAAAGTTGTCACTAAATTAAGTAGTGCCTGAACATTGCCCTCCTAAAAGTGTGATTTCTTAGAAGTGTAGCAACAATAGCAAAAACCACACTTCACTAACATATTTCTATTTAAAACATTCTTTAGATAAGTTAAGAATACTTGTTAATCATTGGATTTATAAAATAAATTACAAGAATGAATACAAACTATTAATTTCTCTAGTTACCAAAATTGTTGGCTTACATAAAGGGATGTATTTCTTCTCAGTCTCTGTTTAACTGTACTATATTTTTTTCAAGATCACTAGTTTGGATAAGGATATTTAACCCCTTATTTTACCTTAAGAGAGGAAGGGCTGTAATTTTATTCCAAAGATGCTGGGTGTAGACCATTTTGCTGCTCCTTTTTAAGACAAGGTGAAGAAGTTGGACTGTGTATTTGCAATGCATATTTCTTCAATTGGCTTTGCTTTTTTTTTTTTTTTTTTTTTTTTTTTTTGAGATGGAGTTTCGCTCTTGTTACCCAGGCTGGAGTGCAATGGCGCGATCTCGGCTCACCGCAATCTCCGCCTCCTGGGCTCAGGCAATTCTCCTGCCTCAGCCTCCCGAGTAGCTGGGATTACAGGCACGCGCCACCATGCCCAGCTAATTTTTTGTATTTTTAGTAGAGACGGGGTTTCACCATGTTGACCGGGATGGTCTCGATCTGTTGACCTCGTGATCCACCCGCCTCGGCCCCCAAAGTGCTGGGATTACAGGCGTGAGCCACAGCGCCCGGCCCCGATTGGCTTTTCATAGTGAGAGGTATTGAAGCCAGCTTCTGTGTTCTACTGAGTTGTTTTCCCCCTATAAGATGTTTAGAAATGAGGTTGGATGTGGTTTCTCATGCCTGTAATCCCAGTGCTTTAGGAGACCAAGGTGGGAGAATTGCTTGAGGCCAGGAGTTCAGTACCAGCCTGGGCAAGACCCACATCTCTACCAAAAAAAGAAAATTTTAGCTGGGTGTGATGGCACACAACTGTATTCCTAGCTACTGGGGAGGCTGAAGTAGAAACTACAATGAGCTATGATTGTGCCACTGCATTCCAGCCTGGGCAGCAGAGCAGGACCCTGTCTCTATATTCATTTCTAATTTTTTTAAAAGTTCTTTTATGTAAATAGAGACTGTATTTACAGTTTATGACAAAATTGCTGTTATGAGGTCCTAAATTAATAAGATACCCT